CACCCCCCTCCCCCACTGACACATATTAAGAGATATACTGACTTATCGGGATAGCACGGAGGAGTATAAGAAGCTATTTGAACAGGTCCACTAGGTTGTCTGCGAGCACCTGACAGATCTTCCAAGTAAAGCCTTACAGGTACGTGAAGCAGCCATTGGGCATCTGGAGAGAGCTATTGTGTTGACGACCATTCTCCATTATCCAGAAACCAGCGGACACATCGGACAACGTGTGCCAAATAACCCCAATCTTTGCACAAATCCCCATCGCCGAGTCCGAGTGTTCGGTGATGCTACGACGAGCCGCTGCCGAGTACATCATCATTAACTTCATATATGATGCATTCTGGCGCCCGTTTTTCTCTGAGTATCTGGTGTCGAGCCGCGTGAATGACTCAGTGTTTCCGACGATGCATTCAGGCATGGCCGAAGCTAGAAGGGCTTTTCAACATCGGTGGAGAGTGGCCACATTGAAGACGTTGGATAAGCTCGACGAGACGAATATCGCGAACGCACAGGTCGAGATTAGGAAGCTTATTGACCTACAAATCATACGACCCTTGCAACTTCTTGTGGACGACTCCCAGGCGTTCCTCTCTGACTTGAACCAAATCTTCCCCCTGGCTATTGAACTAGGTAAAGCTGCAGAGCGCGATCAAATGAACATCATCATTGACAAGACTCCGTACGTAAGCGAACAAGATTCGGGTGGGTGGATCGACTAGTTGGACGAGAGCTATGAGCCTGACTACGGGTCTGATGAATCTCCGTCATCGCCAACTAGCGTCAACACCGCGGCTAGTTTGGTCGTCCGCACAGAGCCGTTGTTGACAAGTCCCAAGATTTTGCGTCAGGTGGAGACCAACGGAGAGATGGAGTTGATTCTTCCGGGGCGAGCGATATTCCCGCAACGGGGCATTTTCCAGGAGGGGGCCTTACAATGGCAGAAGATCCGCAATGCATCGAGCGAAGTGGCTCGGGCGATGAATGGGATGGGTCGACGACAAAGCACCAGCACCGTAGGGTTGGGGATGAGTATGCAATCGCCAATGAAGACGTCCATCCAGTGGGGTGCCTCGAGTTTGGTAGAGTAGCGAGAGTGATTCCAGGACTGGAAGATAGTAATGGGGAGTTCTAGCGGACTATATTGGACACGTCAGCGAAACTGTGCTTACCTGTCAACAGGAAAGCGTACACAAAGGTGGCCAACTATACTTGTCCCAGAAAGTACCCAGCCCTGGTCGAGTATTCTCACACACGGGTCGAGGAAATGCCGGAAGGGGCATATATGGGGAGACATACTCTGTCAATGGCAGTTTACGCTGAGGGGAGAAGTGATCTCTGTGGCGATGTTCTAAATATCCGTCCTACCGAGAGGGGGCCAGGGACATGAAGGCGGCGACGGATACTGGTTCGTCTCAATGTCTGTAATGTATAGTAGGCGGAACTCGTCCTCGCGACGGATGGAAGTGTTGTTCTGGTGGACGGCAGTGATCAAATCGTCCAAGTTCGCTTTGATACCGTGGCCCATCAAGAGGTCCACCATCTTGAGATCGTCGTTTTCAACGGCGGTCCGCATGGCCAGTGTCCTGTCGTCGACCGACTGCTCGTCATTCCCGGTGTTCGACCGGAGTAATAATTCGACTTGATCATAATCCTGAGCTTCGACAGCGTTGGTGAGTGGCCCGCGATAATCCTCTCTCAAGAAGTCAAAAAGGGGCCCCATCATTTGTCGAAAAGAGGAATAAAGGAGGAAAAAGGAGGGCAAGGGGAGGGCAGAAACCCTCTAAAAAGCGACGGCACTGATGGCTCAATTCGGCGGGAAATTTCCCTGCAAACCTCGAGACCTGCATTGAACTGTAGCCTGTCGGTGGCCTCCTGTTGCTGGGCCATTCATTGGATGGGCGACAGGGGTGGTTGTTACACAGCCTTATCGACGTGTCGACACTCCATTCGCGAGAGACAGAAAGATGAATTGAAACTGACGATTCGTCGCTGTCAGTTACTGTCATGGCATTCAATCCACGATATCTCTTTTTCGTGACGAGCAACCTAGATTAACATTGCGCACGAAGCTCAAACACAATGGGCTCGAGTTGTGTGTCCTGCAATCGCACCTTTAGGAGTGAAGAAGGCCTCAGGCAACACATGCGAGACTCTCCTGCGCACGCCTCCAATTGTGAGACCTGCAATCGCAGCTTCGGAAGCGCCGAAGCCCTCAAGCAGCACCTGCGGGATTCTCCCTTCCACAAGCAACCTCCCGAGACCCCTCTGGACAGCTTCTTTCGCTCGTTTCCGACCTTTGTCTACGATCCATCCCTTCCGCCGAGCACTTCCTACGCCCGACTGCGCAGGCACCAAGGCTGGCGGCGGGACGACACCGCGTCACAAGACGCTTGGACTCGATACCAGGACGCGTTGGCGAGCGAATTGCGCATGTGGTTCGGTTCGGAGGACGACCTGAAGGCGTGGCATTCTCTGTGTCGTGCCATTGGTGTCACGCCGCTCCCAAGAACGTGTAGGCAATGCGAGCAAGTAAGAACGCTTATCCATCGCTTTGAGTCTGAATGAGAGACTTTATATCCTGATCGGGTTCAATGCACATGTAATAGGCCGTACGGAGGACACATGTCAACATTGTCGATTTGATCGAGTGGGGCCGACGACGTGGTGGTGACACCGACGATGCCCGAGTTCCGACCTTTCGCAACGAGGCAGAGCTGCGAACCTACACCAAGAAGACGCGCAAGATATTTCGTAACACACTCGAGCATGACAATGTTGTTCTCCGACATTTGCTTCGTCACATCTTTGGCACAAGGCGATGAACGATCGAAGCACAACCGTTGCCCGATTTGCCCGATTTGCGGAGACCGTCTGCTCCTCATTGCGCCGTGTCGACTCTTGTTTGTCACTGCGTGCGTCCAACTTCTCCCTGACTGTCCCCTAGTAGTAGTGCGAGGTACAGTATATGGACGGCTATCGCGTAGGAAAGTATTGGAAAGCCAACTACCAACAGCATTGTTAGGTGCAGTCTGAAGAAGAATTCCTCTGTAAGGAGTGTCATCCATCATCCAGATCCCCGATCCTTGAATACACATACTCGGCTTCCTTTGCATCGATGTCTGGAAACTCAATGAGGGATGAAGGGTTTGTTATGTTCATCTGATACATGCGGAGGTCTATAAAGGAAATACAGCAGTGGCGAACCGCGCCGGAATACTCTCAGTCCAGGTACAGCAAAATCTTTTCGAAGGTAGAAGCCGCACTTGCAAGGCTTCGTACAAGTGTTTTACACATGAAAATCTGGGTACAGTTCTTGTCTGACGCAGCATCCCTTGGGCCCGTTAAAGGATCAGCGGGACAATCCTTTTCCCATCAGCTCCCCTGTTTCAATTTGCCTCAGCACTGTCACTATCGCCTCGCTGCACGTCCAAGGCGACCATTTCCTCCAGAGCAACCAGTTTATCCTGCAGCACGCTCGTGTCATACGTCGCCTTGCCCTCTGTCGCCCTGAGTTTTCTGAGTCTTTGCCCTTCCTTTCCTGCGTTGCCCAGGACACCGCCGATGAGAGAAATTGATCGCAGGGAATCATCATTGGCAGGTATTGGGTAGGTCACCCAGGTCGGATTCGCATCTGTGTCAATGACTCCGATTGTCGGGACATTGAACATGCCACATTCGTGCAGGCAAACCTGATTCTCGATCGGGTTCATGCATATCACCAGATCGGGACGCATGACCTGATGAAAGCCTCTTGACAGGATATCGTCGTACTGAGACAATTCATTGTCATGGATGTCGACCACCTTGACGCCACAGTCCCCAAGGATTTGTTGCCCGTTGGTCAGGGCTCCCGGGACCCATCGATGGAATATGTGGTAGCCTTCAGCCAGCTTGGCTGAATTCACGATAATCTCTTCCATGCCTTTGCGTGTCCCGATGAAGAGGATAATTCCGCCCCTCTCTGCCACTGCCTGGACAACTTTCGCCGCACGTTTCAAGTAGGCATAGGTAATATCCAACGAGATGATGTGAATACCGTCTCTTACGCCGAAAATGTAGCCACTATTTGAGGGATTCCACAACGACGTATGGTGACCGAGATGGGTCTGATTCGCGAGCAACATGGGGAGAGTGAGTTCGTCCACGGTTGGAGGCCTGCGAAGAATGGTAGACGGGTCATATGTCTGGGATAAATGCGTGCCCTGTCGAGTGGCCCGTTGCATTGCGCGACGGTGACGATTCAACTCCTTCAGATTTCGAAAAGGCAGGACATCTGCAGTGGTTGGAGTGGGTGCAGTGCTCGATGTCGAGCCGGACGAGGGTTTCGACATTGTTCGGGCCGCAGAGTGTGCATTAATGTCTGCTTGAAGAGCGCGGATCGATTTATGGTGTGACTCGACCATCTCTTCTAGCAGCCTCGTCGCGGGTGTCGGGGCGCGATCGATTGTGTCTAGGATACTTGAAGGGTCGTCGGGATGACCGGGTATTCTTGTCGTCCCTTTGGCATCTCGTTCTGAGGGTCGAAATGTCGGATTGTCTGCGGAGATGCTTGTTGCATATGTTCGATTGACAGTCCGCGATGACTGTGCCAACACTGTCCGGCCTGGAGATCATTAGAAGTGAAGTCAACCCATTGTCAAGCTGTACATACCATGCCGGGCACAAAACTGTCTGATGATCATGGTCGCTGAGCTCTGGCAGCAAAATTGTAAAGGGCGCATTGAGACTTTCTTCCCCCAAGCTGATCTGGGCTGGTGTCGGATTTGGGCTTGGCAGAAAGACAGGCCGACGTGCAAACAAGACAAACAAAGCAAACACAGCAAATATCAACCCAACATCCCCGTTTCCTCTCGCACCCTTCAATATTATTGCCCGTCTTGTTCAATGTTGTGTTTGAAGACACTCGCTAATGAGATGTGATCCGGAACCCGATGTCAGGCGCGCACCCTTTCTCACAGCCACAGAGGTAGGCGCTGCAAACTCCATATGTACGGCTTACCAGCAGTTACCGGAGCGGACTCAGGGTCAAACACGAACAAGCCCCCCCTTATGGACCAGTAGATCCGGAAATCGTTCTTTCCGCTGCACGATCCCGCCGACACGAAACAGAATCCCCCAATATCTCAACGGCCGTGACGGCTATTGGCATTCCTTCAACATATACAGCATGATGTAGTGTTGCTTGTCTACTGGACGCTATGTTTGGCCTTTGTTTGATATCTTTGGGTGGGCGCCATTGCCAAGTACCCGCCCGAGCTGTAGAAAGCTCATAAAGCCGGGACAGAAAAGCTGAGAGCTCTTCTTTGATTCCATCTTGTTTATCTCCAGCCCCCTGAAAACCCAAACGACTCTTCAGCTTATAGCGAGATTATGGAGAGACCAGCCATGGAAACGGTGAGCGTAAACTTTTAAGCAAAGACCAATCTAAAGCTAAAGCTAGAGCAGGACCGGCCACGTCGCAACTTCAATCCAAGGAAGACCAAACGATATGGACGACAGACCTTTGATCCAGATTTCCTGGTCAAGTACAGCCCCAAATGGAAATACGCCCGTCTCTACAATTTCCCTTATCCCGGTGCTCACTGGCAACCTCGGATGCGGACCATGGTGGTTGCTGTTGACGGAGGATCTCGCGGCAACAATCGCAACGACCCCAAGTCTCGAGCTGCGTATGGCGTCTACTTTGGACCAAACTGCCCACGCAACATGCTGGGTCGGTTGCCTCCGAGTGTACCACAAACGAGTTCCCGTGCCGAGCTTGAAGCGGTCCGCAAGGCCCTTGAGATTGTCCAGGACATGAAGCATGCCGGCGAACTCGATGGCTGGCGTGAGATCATCATCAAGCTGGACTCAGACTATGTGGCCAAGAGTCTCGGTGAATACATCTGGACCTGGGAGCGGAATGGCTTCATGACCAGAAAGGGTACCCCTGTGGAGCACGGTGACCTGATTCGCGAGTTACATGGCACTATCACGCAGTTGGAGCGGGATGGAGCGGTGCGATTCTGGAGGGTTGGACGCGAGTGGAATCGAGAAGCCGATGCGTTGGTGAACCAGGCCTTGGATGTAAGTGCCAACACCCGACCCCTATCCAAATCCCCTATATCCATCCACGGCTTGCGCATGCTCACAGGAAACAAGGACGCTTCTGACAGCGGCTATGAAGATTCTTGAGAATACAGAGCATGGTTGGTCATTTCGACTTGGACGATGCGCTTTTTGAAAAGAGTGGTTTGAATTCTTTGCCCGACTTTTACTAGGCGCTTACATTGGGTTCCAGCACCTTGAGCCACGATGGAATTATCAAGATTTAGTTTGTATTGATGGTGATAGGGGAGAAGGGGGGGGTTATGTACCGAGTACAACTGTGTTAGTAGTCTAGTTTGCCGTTTGTCTAGGTATAGGTAGGTAGGTAGGTAGGTAATAGTATCTTATGTATGGGATTTGTTTGTCTGGTCTTTTTGAAAGCTTGTGCTCCTTGCCTCGTGGGAAGGAGAGTAGATAGATTCAAAGCTCCCTTCGCCGCGAGATCGTTGGCTTGACCAAGATTGTCCAGGGGAAGAGGGATACGAAGGTTGGTTCAGCCCAGCCCAGCTCATCCAAGGAAGCGGTCATCACACAAGTGACTAACCAAGTACCGACCCAGACTAATAAGGAATGAGAAGGCTTGTGGTGTATTATGTTGTCTGGACTTGCGCAAAGACAAAGACAAAGACACAGACATGCCCGTCAGTGGTGGCAAGACTTGTTTCGTGGTCGAGAGTCAAGAGTTCGAGACTTTGGTAGACGCGGCGGCGAAGACTCTTACGGTTGAGGACCTCGAAAGAACCCACGACCTGGCACCAGCTTCTGGCTGTGCGATAATTTTTTTTTTTCTTCTTCTTGATAAAAGTCCGTTAAGAGCCTGCAAGTTCTCTCTCGATTCGACTGATTATAGCAGTAGTGAACACTTGTTGAATTGTCTGCCCACTCTGCCCGGGTCAGAACTTCCTCGTCTTCTTCCTTACCTGAGCCCTTTCTCCAGATTTGAGATTTCATAACGGAATTCACTTCTCTCTCCTGTCAGAACTGTCCACTCACGAGCAAATCAAGATGGACATTCTCGCCGAGTTGGAGAGCATGGCCCTCAATGTTTCAGACGTACGTGAAGACACAACCTCCGAGGCCGATGTCGCACGATGGCAACGGCTATTTGGCTTTGGGAGGCCAGAGGCCACACGCCGAATCGAAGAATACCGGAGTGACTACTCCAGGACCAGGATCTCGGACGACCTCTGGGATACAGTCAAGAGCCGAAAGGAGGCAGAGGGATATGATCGAGAAGCATACGAATATTCCCTCAAGAATCGACCACAAGCACATACCCCAACACCCTCGGCAGCAACGGTGTCAGGCACTTTCATCGTGCAGTTGATGGAGCCTCTGGGCTCAGCGGAAAAAATCATGGATGTGGCTGGCTTAGCGGAGGCTCCGTTGATCGTGACGGGAGCAGGCGAGCATGGCCAAGCGAGTTTCTGCCAGATCGACGGCGTCACGAGGGCGAAGTTGCTCGACTGGGTCGCCGAGCACCATAGCGGTTTCCAGCCTACGATTGTGCGTTTGACCAAGGCCAAGAAGAGTCTCTGCTCGCGGAGCACAGCCCCAACTCTCGCACAAGACTCGACCATGCCTCAAAACCGGCTGGACGACGAAAAGGATATTCCTCGGCCATCACAGGACGAATACCCAGTGTGGTATTTCTTCTACGGCATTCTGGCTGATCCGGAAGTGCTGAAACATCACCTCAGTTTGGACGCCGAGCCTTCTCTTGTGCCGGCGTCTATCGAAGGTGGCGAAGTTGGACTCTGGTCAGGCAAGTACAGAGCCTTGGTGGATTCATGGTCAGAATCGGCCAAGGTGTTTGGGAGCGCGTTTCTCGTTCAGTCCCAGGATCAGGAGGACGCGCTGAGGTTTTACGAGACAGACAGGTACGAGGTTGTGCGATGCCGTATCTTGACAGAGCAGGGGAATTTGCGGGGGTTGACATTTCGCTTCGACGGGCTGCCAGAGGATCTGGGATAGATAGAGGAGTGTTTGTTGGTGATTGGTCAGGTGATCAGTGAAATGATGATTTGCATGGTGGAGCACCAGCCCCTGAATACCAAGACACTAGTCCAATTATGCGCTGGGCCTTGGAGGCTTGGCATCCATCCACTTTTTCTTGTTTCTTCTGGTTTGTTTTCCCTCGTGCTTCGCCCTCCAAATTATTGATGCTTCACTATTGCGATCCTGCCACGCTGTGCCCCAAATAATGTTCAATACTTTCTTCTTCCAGATCCCAAATCCGGCGCATGGCATTGGGAGAAGGTACGCCACTCGATCTGTTGGGTTTCGATCTGGCTCTCCAACCTCTCAGCAGCCACGGACAAGTTGTACAAACCCTCATCTTTATTGGTCCCGCCTTGTCTTCCCCCAGCGCCGCCCAGCCTGACTTTGAAACGCGCCGTGACATTTGCCTCGTGAGCATCTGGACCGCGCAATTTCACCTTGTGTCTTGGAACATGTTCATCTCGCGCAGGTTTTCACGCAGACGGGACCAGAGGTCTAGGTAACTTGGCATGAACGCTTGACTCACCGGCGCCTCTTTGCTTTGCTGTCGCCGTCTCTCACTATTGAGCTTGTCAGGATTCAGTGGACTGACGATATCAAAGTAGTGCGCCCTACCTATTACCTATTATTACCAGGATTGCCAGCCTCTTGACGGGCTGGATCTGAAGTTGCGAGCTTGGCTCCCCCAGTCCTGAGTACTTGTACATATCCGCATCGTCAGCCACTTTTTGATGACAGTTTATGTACTTCCCAGCTTCCTAGCCGGTCCCTTCTTGAACAGCTGCTGTTGTTAACATTCTTGATCAACCTTTTGAGTTGCCCATTCGTTCTGAGTCGCCCTTCACCCATTGCACCTCAGCGTCCTCTCTTTTTCATCTTCTACACTTTCCCACTTCTTCGGTGACAACGTCCAGCTCCATAGCTCGGACGAAAGCTTGCGAATTCATTTCCACACAATAACAACTTATTCCCATCACCAACGCCACCACGATGCGCTCTCTCCTTTTGGTGGTTGTGGGGGCCCTCCCCCTCTTGACTTCTGCATGGTCAGAACACACTCTCTTGACCCGAGCCACGGGAAACGCGACGTCGTGTGAATCGGGCGACAAGGTCTGCGGCGCCTTCTGCATCCCAAGCGACTACACCTGCTGTCCTGATCTCGAAGGTGGTTGCTCGTCCAAGTCGGTTTGCCAGAAGGGCGACAACGACGTGTACGGATGTTGCCCTGTTGGGGACACGTGCTCGGGTGACGGCGGCGCCGAGTTCCTTGACAGTGAGAGTTCGACGTCAACCAACACGGCCGATGCCTCGGTTGCCTCCAAGACGACTACAGCGACCAATGCAGCTCAGCCTCAGGTCATGGCCAACGGACTTGCAGTTGCCATTGTCGCCGCCGGTATCGCCGCTCTCCTATAATAACGGGTTATACCGCGTACCTACGCTACCTCATCACCTCACCACCTCACCACCTCAAACTCGGAGTCGAATGAATCAACGGAGTTGTTGCATGATTGTGAAGCGGCATCAGGGGAAATCATTATGCGGAGGAGGTGGAGGGTCGAGCTGGCTTTTTAAGGGGTCTCATGTTTGGTGTTTGAATTTTATTGATATCCCCATGGATGCATAATTCGCCATGCGCAATCAGGCTAGGTTGTTCGAGTTTTGAAATCCATACCGCCGTCCATCTCGTGTCAGTTTGGCCAGTTTGTTGTCTTTGTTTCCGTCGGCTTGGTTCTTCTTCTTCTTTCCCTCATCAGGTCTTTTTTTGTCACTTATTTTTAATTACAGTCAGTGTCTTGCGACGAGGGAGATGGACACACGCGGGTGACAAGTTCAGCCATGTGAAAGAAGACGAAACGACATGGACAAAGAAGACCTGCTGTTCACCCAAAGTGTCATGCACGCGCATCCCCTTCAATCGGAGTTCCTTGCCCGCATTCGTTTTTCCCTTCTATTTTTTTTTCTCCGCCAATTTCCCTTTTCCCACTCTTGTCTCCTCTCTCCTCTTTTCCCCCACACGCGTTCCTGGGGTTCTACGCTATTTGGTTCGTACTCGGCAATTCGACAAAAGTCCATGTCCATGTACTCGACACTCCTTAGTCGGTAGCCTCTAACTTGTCGCGACTCCTCTATCCGGCGGTCGGCTCGGGGACTGACTCGATTCTCGTCAACCTCGTCACATGTTTTGTTTGTTACTAACCAACCCAAGAGTGAGGAGAAAGAAAAAAAAGGCAGCAGCGGCAGAGGTGGGTTTTATCCGAGGTAACGCAGCGGGTTGAGGTGGATGAATGACTCTGTCTTGTCAGTCTGTCCGTCTCTCTGCACAGGGTATCTGGGTTACGTAGCGAGGTAGGTATATTATATGTGACTTTTCTTACATACGTTCTTGATGTCGTGTGGCTGACGGGTATAATAGGTTGGTCGTCTTATCCCATCACATCGTCGCTGTTGTTCATTTTCCGCACCAGACAACTCACCATTATTGCATTCTCTCCTCTCCTCTTCTCTTACCCTTTCGTTTTCTCTGTGTCTCTTGACCCTATTTCTCGTTTTCCACGAGTCGTAAAACCACCCCACCATCACTTTCTCCCCTCTTCTCTGAGGAAGAAAAGCGAACCCACACTTACCGACAGGAAATCTCCACAGAGATACAACCACCCTTTTTGGACTTCGGGACATATAATCTACAAAGATGTCGTCCATGAGAGCAGCCCGGTTTTACGGCAACAGGGACATTCGCGTCGAAGAGGTCCCCATCCCCGAACCGGGGCCGGGAGAATGTCTCGTCGAGGTGGAGTGGTGCGGGATCTGTGGGAGTGATTTGCACGAGTATGCTGCCGGTAAGTTTGTGGACTTGCCCTTTGGTTTTCTTGGGAGGTGTATTGAATGGAAGAGGAAGAGGACGAGGAAGAGGAGGAGGAGGTGGTGGTGACGGTGACAACGCCAACAATACTGAGTGCCCCAGCGAACCATATCTCGCTACCCACCTACTAAACACAACTCCAACCGCAGGTCCCGTGCTGATGCGCACCGTCGACCCGACCACGGGTGAGCCGCGCCCCATCATCTTCGGCCACGAGTTCTGCGGGCGCCTGAAATCCGTGCCTCCCGGCTCCAAGCTCCAGGTCGGGCAGGCCGTCATGGTCGACCCGCACTGCATCTGCCGGACGTGCAGCTCGTGCACGGCGGGCGACGACCACATCTGCCACAAACTGGGCTTCATCGGCGGCAGCAGCGGCAAGGGCGGCGGGTTGTCCGAGTACGCCACGGTCGAGGAGGCGCACTGCCTCCCGCTGCCGGACAACGTGAGCCTCGAGTACGCGGCCGTCATCGAGCCGCTGGTCGTGTGCCACCACGCGGCCAAGGCGTCGGGCCTGGACCTGGCCGGGCTGAACGTGCTGATCCTCGGCGGCGGCCCCGTCGGCGCGGCCCTCATGTCCGTGCTGCGCGCCCACCGCGTCAACAAGATCGTGCTGAGCGAGCCCACGGCCAAGCGGAAAGAGCAGGCCAAGGACGTCGTCGACCGGGTCGTCGACCCGCGCTCCGAAAAGGTCGGCGACGTCTGTCGCGAACTGACGGGCGGCAAGGGCGTCGATGTCGTCTTTGACTGTGCGGGCGTGCAGCCCGCGCTGGAGGCCGGGTTTGACGCCTTGAGGTCCGGCGGGACCTTTGTCAATGTCGCTGTGTGGGAGAAGCCCGTGAGTTTTTCTTTCGACCTCTTCCCAGAGCGTATTCCCCGTATATTTCTATCCATACACACACACATATATATATGGGTGTATCAGAAAGAAAATGTCCCTTTTTATCCAGACCCTGCGGAGAGGAGAGAGAAAGGTTTCTTGATCAACGCAATAACTAACTGATTCGGTGTCAAGATCCAAATCCAATTCCTGCCCTTCTTCTTCAAGGAGGTCAAGTTCATGAGCTCTTGCTGCTACAACGAGCAGGATTTCAAGGAGGTCATGGAGTTGATGGCCAAAGGCAAGTCAAGTCAAGTCAAGTCTACTTTCTTACAATATTACACATCTGCACACGACACAATTACGCATGAAGTGGATATCACAACCTCCCACCCATCCATACATGCATACATATATCTCCCCCCTGCGCCTGCGGCAGAAGTGTGTCCACTGACTCAAGGACCCACCGGCAGGCTCCTTTCAAGGCTACGAGAAAATGGTCACCAGCCGCATCGCCCTCGAGGACACGGGACCCAAGGGGTTCGAGGAACTGGTCAATAACCGGGACGATCAGATCAAGATTCTGATTTCGCCAAAGATTCGATGAGATTACTAAGAAAGGGAGACGGAGAGCGAGGGAGAGATCAAGAGAAATGTAGAGGGAGGGAGAGAGAGCCTTTTCCTTCCTTCCTCAGAGGCCGACAATCTTCCGACTTGAGTATCATTCATATAGCATATTTTTATCTATATCAGTATCAATATCCGTGCCCACGTCCGTATCCACGTCCACATCTAATGTTAGGTCATTCTCAATATTGTAGGTGACAAGGGAGGGAGGGAGAGAATAGCATAGAACGGGACATTGATTATTCTTTTCGGTGGTGTATGTGGTCTCTGTTTGGACCTGTATATATCCTACGTACTTTTATCATCACCAGCACCAGCAAACTACTCCTGGGCCATGCAAGAAAAACCTTGACCTAGTTTCGCAGAACCCAATGGCAAGGACCACGGCTCAAATACTCGCCCGCCGCGGCGCCATCGCCCTCAACAACTTCTTGCCCTCCTCATCGCCCGCATCGACCCACGCGTCGATGATTCCGTTCAACTGGCCCTCGTTGCGCAACCTGGCAAGAAACTCCTTGGCGTAACTGTACCCGACCTCGTAGATCTCGTCGAACTTGGCAAACTCCAACGTCCCGTACGCTTCGATGGGCGGCCGCATGTATATGCAGCCCGGGGTGGCTTTGGCGCGCTCCAGTGCGTCAACCGAGGAGACGTACGCGAGCCGAGCTTGGATGTCGGACAGGGTCGGTGGATTAGGAATCGACGAGAATGGGTTCCAGCGGTTGAGCAACGACCAAAAGCCCGAGAGCGTGTCGCCATACTGTTGCGGAGTGTCGTCGTCCACGGCGCCAACGTCGACTGCGAATACGAGATCGGTCCCCAGAGACTTCATGTGTTGGACCGTGAGGTTGTCAATGTATCCGCCGTCGAGGAGCATGCTGCCCTCATCACATATGGGCGGGATCAACCCAGCGAGGGACATGCTGGCCCGGACATACCTCCACGCATATCCCGAAGTGTGGATCTCGGCTCGCGATTTGCTAATGTTGGTCGTGTTGCAGTAGAATGGCAGCCAAAAGTCTTCAATCTGTGAATCCCCGAATGCCTTGAATATGCCCCGGTTGAACTCGTGGCCCGTCGTGTATGACGCCGAAGGGTAGGTCAAGTCGAGCGCAAATCGCCACATGCTGCCCATCCGTCCGGCAAATTTCTTTGCACGTCCGTACATTGGCACCACATCGGCGTCGCGGGCATAGAGCGCTCCCAAAAATGCACCGATCGAAGTCCCCCCAACAATGTCAATCGGGATGCCGGCCTCTTCCAGAGCCTGGATGACCCCAATGTGGGAAATACCACGCGCACCTCCTCCACCGAGCACCAGCCCAACAGATTTGCCGCAGAGTCGTCTCGCAAGTCGATGCAGGTCGCCTTTGAAAGGGGTGTCGGCAGAGTACAGCGGAGCGTGGCGAACTCTACGCGAGGTGTATTTCTGTATCTCTGCTTGAATGACCTGAACGCTTTGCTTGATCGCCGAGCCGAACCTTCTAGGAGGTGAGTGAGGCGTGGCCTCTGGGCTCACACGAAATGCCATCTGGATGTGATGATGACCACCATTGATCCACATCCGGTTGCTCATCCATCTCCTGGTCAAGCCAGGCTGTGAATATCGGTCGACGTGGAGCAGCACAAGGTCCTTCCGGGCTGTTGTCTTCATTCCCAGAAGGAATCGCTCGTACTCACCAATATTCGGCGAACTCTCGGCCAAGCCAACCAGCAGGATGCAGTCTGCTTGCGAGATACAAGTCTGGGTCCAAGGCGCGTTCACACTGGTATCTGCAATGTAGAGCACCATACCGTATTTCTCTTCGAGGTCGGCGAGGTACTGCGCCAACTTCAGGCGACCCATTCGGTTAAAGGCATGTCGACCGAGATGGCTCAGAATGATGGCTTGGTTCAGCAGAGTAACGCCACTTGGCACTCCGGTCTGGCTCAAGGCTGCCAGTAAACGATTGCCGAATTCAACCACTGGGACACCGGCGGTAACTGGTAACACTGCGATCGTTCGGAGATTCAGGGTCGATGTGCTCGAGTCACTCAGCGCGGCCCTCTTTCTCTCTTGGCCCTTTTCTGTCAACGGGGCTTCGATGAGCGCTCGCATGCGCTGTGCGATCAACTTGGAAATTTGGATGGTGATATTGGGATGCTCCTGGGCCAGACTGTTAAACAGGCTCCTCGGGAACTTTGCCAGCTCTGTATCACGTATAGCGTGCAGGGTTGCGGGCCTGGTACCATCCGTCATAACTTCCAACTCGCCGATGCTCTCGCCTTGACCGTATTCGCCGGTCACCCGCATCGTTCCACCCTCAAGCTCGCGCACTGCCCTCAGTCGCCCGTTGAGGACAATGTAGATGGCATCGCTGTCGTCGCCCTGATGATGGATGACCTGGCCAGCATTGACTTGTACCCACTCGAGAGCAAAATCAATGTGTAAGATCAGCCTGGGGAGAAGACTGGTGAGCCGTTTCGCCATCGTCAAGAGGACAATAGGATACTTCTCGGCGACCCTTTCCAACGCAGACCGAGGCAGGAAACCGACATAGACATCTGTTTTCGCGGTCACGTCCGTAAACGATCTGTAGGACGACAATGTGCCAACATAGCCGGCAATGCCGCCAGGTTTGACCAGAAATAATGTCTTTTGCACCATTCTTTTGTTCTCCTTGGGCTGTCCGGGAAAGCCAGCGGTCGACTGAGTCCGGGAAGTGGAGGTTCTAGTTCTTCGCAGCCGTGGAAATGTCTCGTCGTGGGAGCCTCTGCGCGATCGGTGGCGATCGACCGATTCTTGTCTTTCTTCTTTCTCTTCAATGGGGATGCTGACGTCTAAGAACCCGTCGATAACATAGTAGAGACCTGGGTTCCGTTCGCCTTGTTCGACCAAAACAGAGCCCTTGGGAAAAAACACAATCTCGACATCGTCCATCAATTCTTCACTCAAGGTTCGGTTGTTCAGCGAACCACCGACACTGGCGGCCGAAGCCGTTATGGACTCGGACTCGCCATCCGCTGAGCCTTCGTAAGGGTCAATGAAGCCAAAGGCGTTATTGAAAATTGCCGTCTGGCGTTTCGCATCATACGAGACAAGCCGTGGAGACTGTTCGACCGAGACCGGACCTCCTTTCAAGGCCTGAGTTACTGACTCGCTCAATCCGAGAGCCTTGGCCATGCATTCAAGCACAGACTCACGAAACAAACTGTCTTCATGAACGGAATCCTGTCGATGGGGCATGTCGCTGTGGAATGAAGTCTGGCGAAACGGCGGTTGTTCGCGGTTCCCCATCGGGCTCATATCCAATCTGAAGCCGTCAGGGGCTCCCATACTCGTCCAGTTCGAGGTGGAGCGGAGGTGGAGGCTAGTAGGTCTCTGACTTGGCCTCGATGCGCCATGCAGATCGCCCGAGCTGACATTTCTGTCTCCTATTCCCGGCCGCACAGAATTGGGCGCTGAAGAAGAGGCGGCACCCTTTGCTGCATTGAGCCGGGCGATTGTGGCTGCTTCTCTGCGAAGTCCACTGGAAGACCGGCGTCGACCAGCCGTCGGGTTGTGCAATGCGATCCCCTTCATCCCTTCTTCGGGCCCAATCCTCTCTCGTTCCTTTGCAAATTTGTCCCGCAACCGGTCAAGGGTGTGGCCGCGGATATGGTTGGGCAGATCATAACTGGTGTATTTATTCATCAGCTTCTCGATCTGCAGGACCTCCGAGGTCAGCCCGAGATACTGGTGTGCGGTCGACAGCGTCACTCGGTGCAGCCTTGTCAGTATGACCTGAACTATGTGGGCAGTGGCCTTGGGGTACACTCTAGTCAAGCGTCGAAACGCGCTTGCTGGGATGATGGCTATTGTGGTGTCAACCACCGCCCTCGCCACAATATCAGGGTGCGCAGAAACCGAGGACTTGGGTCTGGCTTGCTTGTTCTTATAGTGGTGTTCATCAAAGGCAGATCCAAGTGTCAAAGGTGGAACACTAGGCAGCCTCGCTTTCTGCGTCTCGCTGAGAGCGCCAGCGACGGCCGACCCTGGCGTGGGCGGATCCATGATTGGGCTGGCAACGTTGGAATCGGGCGTGCGGGTGACATGGTTGGTAAATCGCGTACCATTGGGGATCTGATCGTCATGGCGCAGCTTGACATCTTCGGTGAACAAGGACAAGATGGAGAATAGAGAGGACATTGAGGCACCATTTTTAACTTCGGTCAATAACTGATAGCCCTGATTGCCTTCCCGATATCCTTCGTCTTCGTCGAACAGGTCAATTTGACCAGTACTGGTGCCTTCGGGTGTGTCTCTCAACGACTTGACAAATATCTGGACCAACCCATCCACCACCAGACAAAACCCTTTCTCTTCCTCGAGCAGCAGTGTCTCCCCGGCAATGAGCTTCCTAGTCTGCATCGTTCGCGTCAACTCGTGAAAGATCGGCCTCTCCAGGTATCCAAACACCTTGATCGCGCTCAGGAATTCGTCGAGGTAGTTGGCCAAGCCCGGTTTCGAGTCCCCATCTTGCGTGTCTGGAAACAAATCGAGCTGGGGCTCTTTTCGCTGCGGCTCTTGAGGCAGGTGTGTATAATAATTGAGGAAACGGTAGCGGATGAACCAACTGACGGTCGAGAATATTGCGACGAAAATGACGAGTCTGCCAGCTGTTAGTAGAACGTCACAGTGAAACGAGTGAGGGGAAGATCACTCACAGGGTAGTGAAATTCATGGTAAAGGTCAAACTCATCGAGAACAGAGTGAACAACCATGTCGGCAGTGTTATTGTACAGAATCCTATGATCCATAACAACGCATGAGGGAGAAAAGTCACGAGGGAGACGAGTGCAGCAACAAAGCCCCTTCCAGGCGAGGATTGTCCATGTCCCACCGGAGGTTGTGAGCTCGCAGCGGAGGCATTCATGATGGCGACCCCGAGCACAAGGACAACTTGAGGCTCGTGGGGGTTTGTGCAAGTGGGAGACTAGGCTAGAGGAGCTCAAGGGTAAGACTGAGCGATCCGAGGCCAGCCACTGAGCACGTCACGAGGAGCAGACATTGCTTCTGGAGCTACTTGCCGGGCGAATGGAGGCAGTGCTCTTGCATTGCGGACTGGAACCGGAAAAAGAAGTGAGGGTGACGAGAATAAGATGGGTGGGAAGAAGAGGGATCAACGACCATTGTTGATTGAATAAAAACGCACGTGAAATGGAAACGAGGGTTACGAGGGTTTCAAGCTTTTGGCTGCCCGTTGGCGATCCGACAGTGAGGAACTGGGTGACGATGGGGGTGGGATGGACCGCATGGTGGGTTGGCGCAGGGATGGAATTCGGGTGGAAATCACATCCAGAGGGCCAGTCACGTGAGAGCTCATACCCGTTACATAAGCACCGGGGGCCATACAGGTCTGGGAGCAGGTATATAGGGAAATATATGGTATAAGAGGATGTCATACGACGAAATGTGTCGTCCTACACGCTAACCAGAATAAGTACACCGTATGCTGTGATCTGAATGTCCGCTCGATATCCCTGGGAGAAGCATTCTTCCGTTCCTCACTCCATCATCCCCTCTCGTGTACCAGCCTCCCTCCCACCCAGACTCGTTTGACATTCCTCTCGTCGCCATTCCACACCCATTTGGCAACTCGATCCTCCCAGGATTCCCAGCCAAAGATGTCCACCCCTGTGTCGACCCCTCCTCCACTAGCATCAACATCCCCCATCACGATCTCCTGGACGTCCCAGAGCATGCCCTCGTCGAAGCCACCCAGCCTCCCTTCCATCCCTACTACTTTGGCGCCACCCATTGTCGCCAACCACAGTCCTTCTGCAACGCTGAGGTTGTACTTGCTGTCACCACCATTCAAGAACCCAACGTGTCGGCTCACAATGCAAGCGTTCCGCACCGCATCAAGTATGCTGGGGCTATACCCGCCGCTGATATCTGTGCCCAAGCCCACTTCGATCCCTTGATCCAGCAACGCCCGCACCGGGCACAATCCACTCCCCAGTGCACTATTGCTCGCGGGACAGTGACTGACTTTGGTTTTCCTCTGCCTGACCAGTTGCATCTCTTCCTGGCTGAGGTGTACTGCGTGCGCCAGGATCGTTCGTGGTGTCAGCAAGCCATGATGGTCATAGACCCCTGCATAACTCGACTGGTCGGGAAACAACTCCTGGACCCATTTCACTTCGTTCAGGTTCTCTGAGATGTGCGTCTGCACTCTGAGATCTTCTTCCTTGGCTAATGTGCCTAGTTGGGATAGTGTTTCGGGCAGACAGCTGGGGGCAAACCTCGGAGTGATGATGTGAGCCACGAGCTCTCCTGAGGGGTCCAGGGATCTGCAATATTCGATGCTGGCTTTCGTGTTTGCTATCGTCTGCTCGGTGCTTTCGTCTCTGTAGTAGTCTGGACAGGCTTCGGGTCGATCCATGCATACTCGTCCAATAAACGCCCTTTGACCCTTCTTGAACGTAATGTCGGCAAGAAGATTCGTCGCCTCAACGTGAATAGTGGCATAGTATGACGCGGTTGTCGTCCCGAGAGAGAGAGTCTTGGAGACCACCCGGTTGTAGACAGCTTTGGCGCGAGCGAGAGGATCGGGTGGCTCAATGGAATCTTTGTACATGGGAGATTTGTCGGTGCCGAGCGACGATTCCAGTGGGAACGTGTATGTGGTCAACCAATCTAGGAGAGTCGACTTTCCGAATATGCCGATATTGGGATATTGCGAAGCGTGTATATGGGTATCTGTGTGTAGCGCCATGGTCAGCCTTGTTCCGCGAACAATTCTTCGCTCGTTGTGTTTGTCCCCACATAAGCACAGATGCTGGACCAGCAAAGGCGTCGTCCAAATCATGACCTACCAATAAAACCAGGAAAGAAGAATCCATCATCCCCAGCAGTGACCACGGGCGCCTCGACGCCGAACTTGCTAATCGCGTCGTTTGGCCCGTTCACAGTCCAATCCGCTTTTTCAATCACGCCTCTGCCGTCTTTCCTGTCCACCAGCACGGCGCCCGTGCGTATCAGCAGCTCATCAGGCTTCGGGGTGGAAATGAACCGGCCAAAATAAATGCGTTTCTGGATCATCTTTGCTGGTCTATTTGCGAGTTATCTAGTCCGGGACGAGAAAGAGTCTATTCTTCCAAGGAGCGTGGCGGCATCTAAATAGAGGAGAAAAAAAGATACAAACAGGAACGAAAACAAATCTCCCTGGTCCTCTTTCACCGTGGCATTGAGCGAGAGGCCTTATCAGGAATACGAAGAGACGAAGAAGCAAGCAAGAAAAAAGAGTGGCCACAAGTGGTTCAGAGAAGACGAAGGTGGGCAGCCAATCGGCGTCGTGTTGATGTCGCTCAGTGGCCGTCGGCGCATCCCGACATGTGCTACAATTGGCATGTGTAACCTGGCACCCTGGTCAGCCACCACGATATCATCCTATTACCGAGTCCATCTTCACGGATTGAGGATACGAAAAGACACAGAGGTCGAGTTCAACGATTGTATTAATAAGGGGGGTGCCTCTCCTTATATGAGTAACCACCACGGTCTTCGCTTTCACTCATCGTCGTCGCTATCCACAACGAACCCTCCCCGAACCATAGGCCGTCGTCTCGCTGTCGGTATTATATCTTCATCGTCATCACTCAATTCCACCTCCGCTTGGAATGTTTTGCTGCCGGGTTCGACAGCTGCGCGTGGCTGGTCAAGCTCGCGGAGCTTCATCTGTCCATCGCCTGCTTCAATATTCGCTTGTGCGCTTTGTGAGGACATTGGAGTATCGCCATCGTCCTCTTCCTCATCCTCGCTATCCCACACCCGCCGCTGCTGCGATGAGGCTGGCTCGGTGTGGTGGTCATCGGTGTCAGTCATAAGCAGATCGTCGTCACTCGCTCGCTCTTCCTCTGTCTGAGCAGCATGCTGCTTCTTGGCTCTCTTCGTTGCTTTCGGTTGCTGCTCACTGATACCTAGGCTGGTCTGGTTTTGAAGCTCATTGCGAATCTTTTCTGCATACTTCGTTCGCATCTGCTCCTCCCTCTCGAAGAAGAGCCGGTCCTTCTCTGCATCGGATTCATCATCACTGTCCCTGATGTAAGCTTCACTCTTGATTTTGCGTCGCCTGTCCAATGCAGCTGCTTTTCGTGCGGCTCTTCTTTGGGCCGCAAGATCCTCGTCAATGTCATCCTCTCCATCATCATCTTCGCCTCGCTTCCTTTTGCGCTTCGCCCGAAGTTCGGCAATGGCGTCCTTGGACTTCTTCTTGCGCGGATTGTCCGGAAACAGAAACTCCTCTTCACCTTCAGAGTCGTCAATGAATGCGTCGCGCGGCGCTTCGTCCCCATCATCTCGGTCTATCTTCTCTTTGTTCCTTGCACGACGGATCATATCTTCGGCTTCTTCATTCTCGTCCTCCCCTTGCCACGGCGTCTGTTCGTACTGTTCGATTGCCGCCTTGTGATCTGAAAGCTGTCCGGCCGATATTTGTCCGGGGATGATCCACGTCGCTCCGAGCACGTCTTCGTCTCCGAGCATTTCAAAGTTAACCAAACGCATCAGCAACTTAAGTCTTCCGTTCTTGAACATTGCCGTTTTGATGTCCTCTGAGGAAGCGTGCACAGTGATGTACGATGGTTTCCCGACATCAACGTTTTCCGGGGGTTCCTCTCCATCCCTTTGTGCGGCCTCGGTGATTCCCAGTCTCCGTGCTTCGGCTTCTGCTTCCCAAGCATGTCGTTCATCAAAAGCGCTTCCCAGTGTTGTCTTGACCCATCGCACAAGATCTGCCTTGCCATCTTTCAGCAGGACTGTGACGACAATCCCGATCTGTTCCTTGATATCTCTTCCGGGCGCTGGCCTGATTTCTAGTTCTGCAGGCGCACGAGTGGTTGCGATTGTCTGTTTCTCCTGACCGTATTCGAGATAGTACAGTGTCGAGTTGATTTTACTGAATAGCATTTCCACTATCAGCTCGGGTCGCTGATCGATCTTCTTGAACATCTTCTTGAACACTTGTCTGGCAAATTCCGACCATTCTCTGTACATTGCATGTCTCCTATCGAGGCAATCCGGTCCGTTGATCATCTTGTTGAAAAGGGCGATGATGTCGATACGATAAAGGAGGACAGCCAAGTCCTGCTTAAACGCGACTCGATAAAAGAATCGATGGGCACGTTTGAGTTGATCAACGCTGAGATCTCGGTATAAGGTTGTAAGAGAGACAAAGGTGTTGACAGAGTTTTGTGTAGAGAACTTTGCCGCGAATCGATTGAAATCGAACTTTCGTTCCTTGGAGACTTGAACCACGTCGGCGATATCTTCATTCTCGGACACCTCGTCATCTGCAGCAGGATCGTCACCCGGTTGAGCAAGTTTTCTCCTCTCTTCCTGACGCTTCTTCTTCGCCCTGCGACGAGACCGTATCTGCAGGTCGACGTTCTCCTTCGAATATCTCTCCAGCATGCGCAAAAAGACGTGCGAGAGCTCCGTGCAAGCGTCGAGATAGCCAAAGCCCTGATCCTTGTAGCCTTTCAGGATCTCCACGACCCGATCATGCGTCGTTTCCTCGTAAAAGATTCGGTTTTGGATGTTGTCCGCGATTTCTTGATCCTCTTCCAACGGGCTCTGTGTCATCTCTTGTACCGTAAGCAAAACCTGAGTGAAGCATCGCATGCAGGCATTCAAGTCCTGCCACTCTTTGTTGTCCAAGGACACTTGCATGAATCGATTTAGCATGATGAAAGTTTCTTGATTGAGAACCGCGGCAACAATCGAATAGCTCTCATCGGTAAAGTCATCTCGCACTTTGTCTGGCTTGACCTCCTTCTTCTGCGTCTCTCGTCGGATACGCTCGGCTTCGAGAAACCATGCCACTGCATAGAAAAACTGGCGATAATTGACATCGACCAGCCGTTCTGCCTCTCGCTCAATGGCTTTGCGCAGATGTGTAAAGAATGGATTAAATCCAGAATCGAGGAACTCTTCGACGAAGTTTCGTAGCTTCTCGGCCGCCGAGTCAGTGAGATGAGTAGTACGATCGAAATCGTGGATTGTGTGGTCGATATCTCTGCGTTTCTGTTGAGGCTTATTCCATTTCTTGGACTTGTCCATGTTCAACAGCGCCTGCTGATCGTTTCGGAGATTGTCCTGGCCCGAGACAGCCGACATCTTTTCTCCCTCCCGTTTCACCCATATCATGGTTCCGAAGCGTCCATGTCTGCTCCACTGATGCTTCTTCGCGTCTCGATTCTTGCTCTCCTCCACAGCGAGAGCGGCCCCCAGGTCCGTGATGCCCTGACTCTTCCTCTCTTGCTGTGTCATCCACAGTCTTCGCGGGTCAACACCTTTGATCAAGTTGAAGAGTATGTCCAACACAATAACATCCTGCAAGTTGAAATCATCTCCCATATTTGAGCAGATGGTCAGAAGCAGAGCAAAAACATCTTGGTCTCTGAACGCCTCTATGGTCGCCGATCGAGAGACTTCTGAATCCAAGCCCTGGCTAGGTAAATTGGGAATCTGCTGAATCACGGCGATGTTTCGAAAGAAGTAGAGCATAAGCTTGAGTATACCTTCGTCTCGGCTTGTTCTCTCGTCTCTGGCCACGGCTATCGAGGGTAAGCCAATGCGCACTACCTGCCGGAGGATATTGCTAGTGTCGCAGCCCAGGACGGCGGCCTTGTATACGACTTGTGCTTGCTGAATGTATGGCGTGTGTCGGTGATGGTTAACGGTCATTTCTCCTGTAGTCTCCAGTGGCCATGTTAACGGCACCAGTACTTCCAAGCATGCCAGCGCGACGCGAGCCTTCAGCTTGTTCTCCTTGCCGTCTTCGGGCCACGAGGCGAGAATGGGTATCAGGTCTCCCCCGACAAGCTTGGCTTCTGCTAGACATCTCGCGACATCGAGTCGGTTGTTCTTCTCGTCGTACAGCTTCAGCCACCGCTTGAGATCTCGAAGACAGGCAAGCGCGTCGTCACCGAGGACGTAGCGGCCATCGTCGTCTGTACTACTCCCACCAAGCTAGCGTACGTTAGCATATTCGGTGTTAACCAAGACGAAGAGACACATACTGCGTTAACGAGACTGTAGACATAGGCCCGAACTTCAGGATGAACGGTCTGGGCCTTGGTGAAAGGATTGCTGTCGTCAATATAGTCCATATCGTCTAGTCATTACCGTCATTGTCGAGAAATCAGGAAGTTGACGACAGCGAAGAGGCGTGTGTTGGAAAGACACGCGTACCCACGCGTGCACCGGACGCGTTAAAGGCATTCGGGCGGACCATGCAGCCCCCAGAGTGCACGTTTCGCCTCTTATCGGTGAGCCTCGGTTTTCGATAAGGGCGAGTGGGAACCTTGGCGGGCGCTTCAAGGAGAAATCCCGGCGTTTCTAGACCTTTTGAAGCACAAGCGGGCGCATTCGAGTCGAGAGATTCCTCAACTCGCATAGGTAGACTGCCAACAGCTTTTCCCAATGGCTTCGTTGTCGAGATTTTCCTCCCGACTGATGGCTCCTTCAAAGTCGCAAGTTGCCTCACAGAGGCTCGCCTCGCTCAACCGCCAGTTCTCTTCCACGCCCTCATTGGGCTTCGAAGTGAAGAAGCTTGGTGTTGTTGGTGCTGGTCAAATGGTATGCTTTTGTCATAGTTGAAATTGTGAAGTCCATGTCCAGCTTCTAACAACGAACAGGGTCTAGGAATTGCACTTGTCGCAGCTCAAAAAGCCCAAGTCCCAGTCACGCTTGTGGACACCTCCCAACAATCGCTCGACCGCGGCCTCGCATTCGCCGACAAGCTCCTCGCAAAGGATGTCTCGAAGCAGAAGATCACCGAAGAGATCGCAAAGGCTACAAGAGAGAGGTTAAGACCCACCACAAAGATGTCGGACCTGTCCGACGTGGACATGGTCATCGAAGCCGTCCCCGAGATCCCGTCGTTGAAGGAAAAAATCTTTGCTGAATTGGCCGAAATATGTCCCAAACATGCCATCCTGGCCACAAACACGTCGAGTATAAGCATCACCAGGATCGCGCGGGCGACCTCAAAGGACCCCACCGATACCTCTGCGTCGTCGCGGGTTGTGTCGACGCACTTCATGAACCCAGTGCCCGTCCAGAAGGGCGTGGAGATCATCTCCGGCCTGCAGACCTCTCCCGAGACGCTCGCGACGGCCGTCGCATTCTGCGAGAAGATGGGCAAAGTCTGCTCTGTCTCAGCCGATATCCCGGGGTTCCTCGCCAACCGGATCCTGATGCCCTACATCAACGAAGCGATCATCTGCTTGGAGACCGGGGTGGGCAAGAAGGAGGATATCGACAGTATCATGAAGAACGGGACCAATGTGCCAATGGGCCCGCTCACGCTGGCGGATTTCATCGGCCTGGACACTTGTCTGGCCATCATGGAGACGTTACATGCCGGTCTGGGCGATAGCAAATACAGGCCCAGCGTGCTGCTAAGGCAGTATGTGGATGCTGGCTGGCTGGGCAAGAAGAGCGGCAGGGGTTTCTACGAGTATAAGTGAGCCGGATCGCCACCAGGCCCGTTGGATATACAGCACTCAAGATGGCGGGTGCTTTGGCGGTATATTTCTGTATAGCAATGGGCCGTTCCCCCCTGCTACACGTGCGGATTACGTCGGAGGTATAAAGAAAAGCCCACTACGGTCAATGATCAATCAAAAATCAAATGTATTCATAATGAACCCAGACTGAATCTTGTCAGTCCTTTTTTTTGGTCCTTGTGGAGATCCTCTCGTTGCTTGTTTCCCCCCAATAGCCAGCCGAATGTTGAACCGTACCAGAACCAACAAACTCTAAAGAGACCAGTGTATCCCGAACCAAATCGTTTCCTCGATCATGTTCTAATCATCCACTCATACTTCTGAGAAACCTGGAAACCTGCACTTGGCCGAAACCGTTCGTTCTATGTAAACTTCCTCCTGGGGGCTTCCGTGGCCTCGTCGAGACTACCACTGCCCACCTTCTCCGCACCGGTCAAGCGGGCGTTGAACTCGTCTAGACGGTCCAGGGGCAGGTTGAGGAAGAGATGCTTGTTCTTCCAGCGCACCTCGCTGTCGATGAACTCCTGGACGGCGCGTCCGCCGGGCGGTGGGGGCGGCTCGGTGATTTTTGTGATGAGGTAGGCGGTGCTGGCTTCGGCGATGCCGTAGATGAGCACTCCCAGCAGGGGCACCTTGACCATGACGGCGAAGGCGGCGGAGAAGCCGAACAGCACGCCGCTGCGGTCGAGGAACCAGATCTTCTTCTGCTGCGGGGTGAAGCGGATGCGGTGGAAGTAGGGCTCCAGCAGGCGCGACATGAGGCTGCGGCTCGAGAAGTACGTCTGCAAAAAGTGCACCATGTAGTGCTTCGGGAGGATCAGGCCGGACGCGAAGACGATGCCCGCCGGCACGGGCCCGACGGCCTTGTTGAACGTGTAGAACGACGCCGCAGGCAGGACGAACCGGCCTACCCCGGGCAGGAACGTGAGGGCGTAGATGGCCAGCGAGATCGCGGCTCGTCGGCCGTACTTGGTAAAGAAGATGATGACTCCATCGACCGGGGACCGCCGTTCCTTCTTCTCCCGCTCGCCATGCGTCGAGTACATCTTGAGGGTTGGATAGTACATGCCCCGCAACGTGGCCGGGTCGTCGGACTTGTGCTTCTGCACGTACGTCGTGTCCACCCACTTCAGGGACTCCATGAACAGGTTGTCCAGCGTCGGGGTCACGGAGCCCATGATCATCATCAGACCAAAAGGGATCTGAAGCACCGACCGTGAGATGAAGTCCAGGCCCGAGATGACCTTGTCGTCCCAGGTCTCATGGTCGAGGTTGACGAATATGGACGTGATCCAGATCAAGATTTTGACGAGATAGATGGGAATGTTGAGGATGATGCGGATGGCGAGGCCTGCGCAGACGGCGATGGCGGCTTGTCGATAGTGTGCGGTGGTGAACAGCTCCGGGTTTTGGAGAGCTCGATGGGCGCCTACAAAGGTGAGTTGCGCGCCGCGGAGGATCGCATTGGGGTCAAAGTTGGACATGATGCAGACCTAGTTGAGCGAGAGTCCAGCCCAGAGGATCCGTCTCCGGGTAAATTAGAGTCTCAACGACACGACGAGGAGTGGGAACAAAAGAGTGCCCAGGTGGTGGTGGTGGCGGTGGTGGTGGTGATGGTGGTTGATGCTGGAAGAGTTTCGTCAGTGGCGCAGTTGTCGACGAGGCTGGGGCTTGGCACACAACCAAATGTGGATTTCCAGGCAAGGCTGCGTAAAAAAAGGAGGCTTTTGCCCGCCCCGGGGGGGGGGGGGGGGTTTCTCACTTGCTTCACCATCGTCTGTTCTATAGAAATGCATTTAATCAAAGTACTATCTCGTCAACCGAGATCTATGGGAGAAGAGTTCGACCCAGAGCCTCTCTATAGTCTAACAGTTGCAATTCTCCGCTTCTACCTCGCTCATTTCTCATCCTCTATTATAGAACATATTTGTGAGTTTGACTCCATCTCCACTGAAACGGTTGGATCCATCATCATTATCTACTAGTACTGATAATCGTTCTCATCTTCTTCTTCGTCGTCCTCCGTGTGCGTGGCGAATGTTGGATCCTCGACATGGCCGTATAACCCCTCGTCGTCGTCCTCTTCGTCTTCGGGATAGTGTTCTTCTTCTTCTTCCCCCCAATTCCCGTCTCCTTCGCCCATGGCTTGATGACTAGCACTAGTGTCGTGGTCGCCGTATGCTCCTGGGAAACGGCTGCCACCCGCGACGGGCTGTTGCGGGTGATTGGTAGCCATGGGCTGGCCCCCCTGGCTACCGGCGCTGTTGTTGGTGTAGCTGAACTGGCTCAAGGATGAATTCGACCGACTCGCAATAGATGGTGAAGAGTTGTTGCCGAGCCTACTCGAGGGCGCAAGCCCACGCGTTGAGCCCGTGGCGTCCTCTCCCGATTCCACGCTCGTGAAAGAAGATCCAGTTTGACGGCCAAAAGAGAAACTCGAAACCCCGGGACTCAGCGCCGACGTGTCCATGGTGGGGGCCATGGTAGGGTGGCTTCGAGTCGACTGTGGCGGGACTCGCGAGCTGTTAATGGAACCTGTCCTGGGGCGTTGAGATCTGGGCGTAGGAGGGATCCCTCGCAGCGAGCCTGAGGGGGTTGTTCCGACGGAATTAGGTGTGAGTGGGGGAACATTCTGCCCGCTGGCAATGGAGGATGTTGTGCTAGCCGAGCCTCTGGTTGAAGGGGGTATGGCACGCCCCGAGGATGACGGTGATGGTCCATGCGGGCTGGGCGAGGGCGGCGGTGGCTGAAGACCAGGAGGGTGTGCTGGAGCAGAAGCTCCCGCCTGCCAATTCGTCTGGGTTTGGAATCTGAGATTATCGGCTGGGGTACCGGTGGAGGGTTTTACGTTTGGGTGCAACTGGGGAGCCGACATATGGCTTGTAGAAGCTGGAGCGTAGGAACCCATGGTATCGAGTGACAGATTTATTGATTCTGGATGAAGTCGGCGCCCTTGCTTCACTAGATATCTCCGAGCGGTTGAATATTTGGTGGCAAGCTTGGATGGGGAGGCAATCGAGTCGGACCTTTAAGAAAGATATTTCGTATCCGTTTCTGCAATGCTTCATTAGTCTGGCCACACGCCGCAACGGGGGAGGTTCTATTATCAGTCACGTCCAGATCAAGAAAACACACCGAACGGCACAACGACGGTGAGACGGTGGTTTTTCCGCTGACGCCCCCAAAGCCCTGTCGGAACAAAGCACCTCATGTTGTACTGCACATTTGCGGGGGATGTGCAGAGTTTGATGTGGCTGGGGACTATATCGTGAATCCTGAGGTTCAACGCTGACGGCAAAGATGACCCTATCGCTCTCACTCCCACGTGGATGATGACATGGTACTTCCTTCAGGATGGCCTTTGTCCACATGAGTACGGTGAAGATAGGACCAAGTCTGGGCCTGATGGTCACGGTGCACTATTTCATTGGATTGGTTCTAGGCTTAGTAACCCCCCTCGATGGTTATACAAGGGGGCCTATGACTGAACGGTAAGCAGTTGATGCAATGGTCATACCGTATACAGGTCTATTAAAGGCCCACCCGAGCTACTTTCTTTAGTCTGCTTCCTTTGACCCGTTTTTGTCCAATACGAGGTATGTATGCAGCGGGTTGTGACGACAGTTCGAGCCCCGTCCGATTTTTCCAACCGAAGAAGTGGCCTTATTACCCTTTGACTTTGGTGTTGGACAGCCAGTCCCCGTTTGAGACGGAGGATAAAGGACTGACATGCCTACTCGGGAAGCCGCAGGGTTCTGGATTGGGGGCTCGGCTATCTGACAACCTTGGTGATCCTGCTCAGGAGTCAGGACATCTCACCTTTGTCAGCAATTTCGCTCAAAATAGCCCTATAGCCACATCTAGCAGCAGTATGCTCCAAGTCCGCCGATGCCACTGTACCTCAAATATGCGATGAGGTTTGGTCAAGAGTCATATACGGGTCGGATGAGAGGACATGTTGCCTCCTAATCTCCTGGCTCTTTCTTGCCTGGACATCGCCCAATCTGTCATTCAGCATATAGATCATCACAAGCGGTCTGAGATTAGAAAAAGAGAAGAATAGGCATGCCAATGCACCGCGATGATTCATCATCTGCTTCCTCAAAAGAATCGAGTTGTAGTTGTGGGCCCTGAGAGTGGTATCTACATACACATACTCCTATCCCACTATGCCATCACATCCTTTCTAAGGGGTCCGACCAATATACATTCTGCATTTTGTCAGGCATCTGACGCGCAATGACTCAACGACAACGAGTACACGACGCATTTACAGACAGATACCTACTACTTTATATGGTCGCATGAATCTCACATTCGCCGAAGTCGGAGCCTTGTTTCTCCGAGGCTCCGACTTCCCCCCTGCCAAGCATTCCAACTTTAAACTTTCCCTACTTCGCTGCTTCCCCATTCTTTCCTTCCTCATTCTTCATTCTCCGCACCGGGTTCGGCTGTATGTATTTGTCTACTCCTCACCTCACCCCGAGTTGTCCCCTATTGTATACCTAGGTATGGACGAGAGGTGGATGGGACTGGAGACGAGACATGGTTTTTTCTCGGCTAACGACAAAGTGGATTTTTGCGAGCTGTGTAACTTTTTTACTTTTTTTTCCTCCCAGTAATTCCCAGCTAAAGATACATAATCTATCTATCTATCTATCTATCTATTGCACCCCGTGCTATACGCTGTCACGGATTGTTTAGGGAAAAAGAAATAAGAGCTTCGATTTCACCTCGTGGGCCTAGACACCTTTCGTGACCAGAGGACAGAGTGAGACAGATCCATATTCGATCCATCATGGCGTCGCAATATCTTGGAAACATGTTCTCGCTGGAGGGGAAGACGGCCATCATGACGGGAGCAACAGGTATATAATAACACGCCCCCGCCTCCCTCCAGCTATAGCCAACCACGTCCTTTGTTCGTCGTGTTGCGACACACTCACTCACTCTCTCACAACGACCAGGTGGCCTGGGCTCGGCACAGGCAACCGCCCTGGCCCAAGCGGGCGTGTCGACCATCGTCTCGATCGAAGCGCCCAACGACCCGCAGTCGGCAGATCTGAAAGCCAAGGTCGAAGGCGTCGGCAAGAAACTGGTAGCTTTCCACTGCGACCTGCGCAACCCCAAGAGCCTGCGCGATTGCTACGCGTCGATATGGCAGGCCGGGATTGTGCCGGACATTCTGATCAACTGCGCGGGCGTGATGCGGCGGAATCTCTGCGAGAATGCGACCGACGACGAGATTGATTTGGTGAGTAGAAACCCGCGACTCTCCCAACAACAACAATAACACAGTTCGTGTTCCAAAAAGAAACCCAAAAAACTGACATCCTTCCTTTTTTCCTCTGTTGTGTGTAGCTGGTCGAAGTCAACATCAAATCCTATTACATCTCGATGCAAGAATTCGGGCGCAAGCTCTTCTCTCTCAACCGGCCAGGAAAAATCGTCAACATCGCCTCCGTCACCTCGTACCAAGCCGGCTTCAACACGAGCGTCTACTCGAGCACAAAGGGCGCCGTGCTGCAGATGACAAAGGCCTTTAGCAACGAGTGGGCCGGCAAGGGCATTCAGGTCAACTGCATCGCCCCGGGGTTCATGCGCACGTCCATGACGGCCCAGTACCAGGACGACCAGAAGATGGTCGACTACCTCATGACGCGGGTGCCGATGCAGAGATGGGGCGAGCCGCAGGATCTGGTCCCCGCCATGCTCTTCCTCGTCGCTCCGGGGAATACTTTCACCTCGGGGGCCTGTCTGATTGTGGACGGCGGATACTGCGGCAAGTAGTTCTTGGGAGGAGTGGTAACTGAGGCCGAATAGTGCTCGAGGGGGTTGATAGCATTGGGTGGTAGATGGGATTGTTGTAGCCGAATAGATAGATCGATTGTAATCCCGCCCACCCGCTTCCTGGCCATGCATCTTGAATCCAGTATTGTGCTCGTGTCATATGCTGAGGTCATTTGGTCAAATCGTAGCATTTTATCCAAACTCTGCAAAAAATGTACCAATATTTTCCCGCTCATCGTACACATCTCTGCGAAAATGGAGACATATCCAACCAGATGACAATCCCGAAGCAAAAAGTTGGCTACGCCAATTAAAACACCATACTAAAAACCCAGTTCCGATGACTTTGTACAGCGTTCCATGTTTCTCGTTAAATGCGATGCGATGTAGGTGGTGAGACATCTGCCACTGTTGTAACAGAACAGCGATTAGGTTCGTTTAGACTCGAAAGTCGAGATTCATAATACTCTCATACGGGCTTCAGAGTATCACACATCACATCACTTGCACCGGTAAGAGATGAGGTGTTCGGCCGTCGTCCGCGCCAGATCCCGCCAGATGCGAGCTCCATAGTCGGCCAAGAGCGAGGGCTCATTCCCCTTCGCCAACACGCGGACAGGACCACGCGATCCATCGACTCGTTTCGGTCGCACCCCCGGACTCCGGGAGGAGGCCTTGGGTCGCGTCCAACCTTCGGATTCCAGGCTCAAAAAGGCGTGCATGTCATTGCTCGTCCGGACCATATGGACGTTAGGGTCTGATTCATGGGGCTCTCCACACGGCACAGGGACGGGATATTTTGACGCTTGTGATATGTTTGAAGTTGGTGAAAAGGGACACAGGACTTGATCTCTCTTTGGAGATTGGCGATACTGGGAGAGATGTTCAAAACTCTCGGGCGTGGCTACCATTATCACGGCACCTGCATTGTCAGAGGTGGCTTGGTGTCTCGTCTGCTCAGTGATGTGGCACGCATCGAAGCTCGGAGAGCCGTCGCGATGGCCAGGAAGGACTTCCGAAGCACTGTCGCGACGCCAAACGCGGCAGCTGAATTTGTTGACGTTGGAATGCTGGCGAAGGATGCGCGCCGTGTCGTGGCGAAAATAAAGTCGCGGTTTCCATCCGCAGAGGAGTTGAAGGCGTCGGCACTGTTCACATCTAGGCCGTACCTCGTCGCATTTGACCTGAAAGGAGGATTGTATCAGTTGGGTTGAATGTGATGAGTGTCAAATCATGATCGGTTGGTATAGACAAGGGGAGGAGGATGGTGATTGTCACAGCATCATCCACCGTGACCCGCGTACCTTGCGGTCCCGACACGTTTGGCATCCTGTCCTCGTCCTGTTGTGCGGATGTGATGGAGAGTGTTTCCTCGAACAGGGCTCCTGCAGTGGTTCCTCCCGGAATGGCGACGGTCTGGTCCCAAGGCTCATCTTCCTGGATCGTGACGAAGGAGAAACAAGCGCTCAATGATCACGCCTGATTACCTTCCTCGTGAATGCGAGAACCGGTACTCGCAGGTTACCCGTGGAATGATAGTCCAAAGGAAAACTCTGGGAAGAGCAGAAGACGGTACATTCTTTGCTCTGTACTTGGCGATCGCAACTTGTCAAGGGGTAAGAATTCTGTCGAAGAAACAAAAACCTCATTCCTGAAGTTGGGAGGTCTCCTTACAAGTAAGCATGCAGGACCCTAACCCCCAAGTACTGGTCGTATGTACTTAGATCCCGAAAAGAGCAACTGGACATGCTGGGACCAAGACAATAAGCGCGAGTCCAGACCACGACTAGACCAACATGAATAATAAGATCATGAAGCTCACCATTCACAGTCTGTCTAGCGGTCAAAAGCGCGTTGCCGATCATTTCCTCAGAAGCAAAACACCCGGGCAGCTCGGACGTTGCACTGCCACCCTGCAGCGGAGATCATTTCCGATGCAGGGGGTTTTTGGTGCTGATCCCAGGCCTAAAGCATCCCGTCAAGCCATCTCGGTCGCTCGTGGTTTGCACAAACTCGGTTCAGTTGACAAGACGTGTTGTGAGATGGATTATCGCGATTATCCAGCGACTCGACGCAGTCTTGTTGAATGTGCCATCATCCCACCTACCTCTCAAAGTCCAAGACAGTCTAAAAGCGGGTAATTGTTGGGATCGTTTCGAAGAGCGAGTGTGTAAGAGTCCGACATATTATCCAGGAGAGAAGAGACTAGTGATCGATGGTTCGGGAAAGACAGATCTCGAGGAGGGTGTCAGGACTGCGACGAACATTAAAGGATCGGTCCGATGTCAGGCAGATTTGCTTTTCATGCAGTGCACAAACTCGGAAGAGCAAGCCTCATGCGTCTCTTGCAGCTCATGAACCTTGATGGAACTAGGATGAAAGATCGTGTCAAGCACACGAGCTGTTGGAAAGAATTCGTCGTTGAGGTTGCTGGTCGATGACCTGCCATCCAACTACAATCTTGAATATATTGAAAGGCCAAGAACGAGACGGGAAATCGACGAGCCGAGAAGCCTCAAGTCCTTGCTGGTAGCAACAAGTACCGAGTACCGCACCCAGGTGTACTGAGCACCTCATACCGCTTATCCAAACCAGTACCAAGAAAGAGGGAGTATCCCATACGTATCTCGTACAAATGACGAATCCGGATGTAGTATCCGAGAGGCCTCAAACAAGGAGAAGGCAGCGGTGGCATCAGTCTCCACCACTGCGCAGATCGACGCGCCTGGATACCAAACTCGGTAGGGATCTGCGTGGGAGAAAGTCACAGCCGAAGCCACGTCCTGGTCTGCCTTGTCGCTGGCGTAAAACTTTACTCACAATAAACAGTGTGACAGTTCAGCTTCTCTCAGAGGTAAAATATGCTTTTTGAGACTCGGATTTTTTTTTTTGAAAAGGAGTGTTTTGGCTCTTTTCGGTTCTGGTGGAAGTCAAACAACCTTACGAGGCAACAACCCCTCTTTGTTTTCCTTCGCTTGATGGAATGGTATGAGGAACTCTACAGAGAGAGAAAATTACCGGTTGCCCAGTGTAAGAGTGAAAGGTTGATTCAATTGAGAGGAGTCCGGATACGAGACGACACAAGAGGCGGGAAATACTCATGCTAATTGACACGTGATCACAGTCACGTGAGAGTTGTTGCCAAGGCGATGCATTGACCATAACGCTAGTCCTTTTGAGATCTTAGCGGCGATTACTCCAAGGTCTATTCAGACGAGCCCTACGAGGACCAGAAAAATCCCACATTAGACCGGATCACGGCCACTGACACTGACGCCCAGGACGAAGGGCGCAACCTCTAGTATCCTCTCTGGAATGATGATTCCTTGACGCATGAGATTCACCCTTTAGCCCTTGCCTTGGGGCCAACGAACGGCCTAATCTTCCTATATTGGCTTTTGGTATTCTGGTTATTTGGTCTTTTGCTAATATACATCTCTCGTGCGACTTTTCTTGTGACAGCTCAGCTTTCCTGAACGCTGCTGCTGCTGCTGTACTGTGGCATCGTGGTTCTGCAGTGCTCAACCTGCTCCAGGTCTGTGTCCGACTCCCTGTTTGTGTTACCAATTATCTCTTGACAGCTGCTTTCTTCTCCATCTGATGTGATCGAGGCTTTGCCGTTCACCTCATATTGTCCGGAATCGCGTTGTGGTAGTAGGACTGGCGACGCAGATGGCGAAAGTCCTCGTCATCCGTCACGGTGTACTCGGTGGCTACGCTGATCTGGCCCTTCCCCACGCCCATAGACAGCTCAGTCGACGACCTCGACCGGGTGAGATGGCGCTCGGACCCGTCGCCGTCGCCGTCGCAGTCGATTTCCTTGTTATGCTCCTGCTCGCCCTTCTTGTTCTTGTTCTTGTCGGCGCCACCGGCGCGGCTGTTCCACAGGGTCGCGAGCTGGTGCGCCTGTCCGCTACTGACCGCGCCTGCGCTACCCTGGGACTTTTTCGTGCCGTTTGAGGTGAGCTCGCCCTTGCGCCACACAGTCCAGAAGGCCTTGATTCCCGGCATGTTGGCGGCGAAGATGCCCACCTGGATCTCGACAGCCGAGATCAGGATCATCCGACCGAGAATGTACGTGAAGTCCGGGTTGGTGGCGAACTGGTTGACCACGATCAGCCGGAGGCCCGACACGACCACGACCAGTCCACCCATGGTGATGACAGAATACACAGCGAGTCGGCGGCGCCAGGTCATCTGAAGACCCCAGAAGACCGTAACGGGGAGGAAGAGGATGATGCAATCGAGGACGAGTTCCTGTCATTCCCAAACGTCTCGTTAGCCAAATTGAAGTTTTTCAAAGGGGCCAACCAAAAAAGGAACAGGAACAATCACGCAGACGACCTACCAAACTTCCCGGCACAAAGTACGTCACCTTTGGTGGCAGACATTTCGCATCGGGGAACAGCGTCGGATACCAAAATGCCTGCAAAGGGTGGCATTGCAGCGAGTATATCAGCCAAATGGCGATGGTGACGGCCGCGGTCAACCCGATAGTGCCATAGACCAGCATGCGAAACCGTCTTTCCTGGGCCAGCCGGAGGTAGAAGAGCAGGAAGCAGAATTTGATCCAGAAGTGCATCCAGATGTAGTATATTTCTTCGGCAAAGAGGACCTGCGGTGCGAGAGACTTTTGTTAGTGAATTTGTGGGTATGAGGAGAGAGAGAGAGAGAGTGTGTGTGTGTGTGTGTTTCCCAAACAAGGTACACAAACTCACCTTTAACAGTGTCGTCAGGTTTTCTGGATTATCTGCCAGCACGGCCTGCATGGTTCTGTTTTTGGGGAGGAAGTTCTTAGCAGATGAAGAAGCAGGACAAAGGGGGAACCGTTTGTGTGGTGATGTGCGTGGGTGAGTACATACTTTCCACCGCCGTGATTGAGAAACATGTACAAAACCACCTGTTGACCGGCGTTGAAGAACTATTTTGTTCGCTCGAGTGTCAGTACACTGGCCTTTCAAAGAAAATAGCTGAAGGAGTCTATCTTACCAGGCAAACCAACATTGCCCAATCATCCCAGCCCAGCTGTTTCAAGACGACGGCTCGGGTCCAGAGCCGCAGGAGAATGCTCCCTTCACCGATGGCGAAGAGAATGTTGATGACCACATGGCACGTCAACTGGAGGCTCTTTGGCTCAGCCATCTTTGGATACCCGAGAAAGAAAGGTGTCGAGCCTGAGTTCCTCCTGAGACTTCAAGTCATACACAAAGGCTTCTGCTTGTTGCGCAGCGAAGAGAAGAAAAAAAAGTGCCCTCTCCTGACCTGCAGATTCTGAAGTCGTTGGCCCAGCAAAACGAGAAAAGGTCGTCGATCTGGTGCATATATGCGAGGTTTGTTACTTGGTATGTATATATGTATGTGTTCGAGGTCAGAAAAGAGCCAACCATTGAACTAGGACTAGTACAGGCGCACAGGTTCTCGGCAAAGTGCCTGTGCCCGACTTGAACCTGACCTTGAACCTGGACAAGGTGACAAGGCTTTACGACTTCTTCCGTGGGCCACGGCTCACGCCCAAGAACCTCGAAAGGAATTGTCGAGCGTCGATCACACGCCCGGGGAGCCAGAGCCGTTGAGCTTGAGGGAACCGTTTAGGTAGTTCGCGTTACGAGTCACCTACTACATAGGGAGACATGGAACCCCCTTTGGCCCCCATGTCCCTGTCCCGTCCAAAGACAGGATATGGGTCGCTAGCCGAGGGGGTGGCAGGGGAAAAAACTTTTTCGTCCAAAAACGAGATTGAATCCTGGTTCAAATTGGGGTTGGGAAGCGTGAGCCACTCCCTGTTTGGGATTCGCAAAAGTCCAAAGAGATGGGCAGGGCGGCTGGAATGGGAGAGTACACCCATTCAGTACTCGGTACTCTAGTCAGAACACCAGTCATAGACAGTTCTATTTCGTTCTCATGCTCGGTGCCGTGGTAGAGCTCAAAAGGCGCTTCTGAGATGGAACCTCACTCATTCTCTCTACACTACTACATATTTCTGGGCTTTCCAGGGACATCAAGGAAGAACGGCATGGCGAGAGGGTAACGCCCAAGGGGACATGGAACCCTGCTGAGCATTCTTCGACTCTGATAAACTCAACAGCTACGAAATAGGTCTTGCACGCGACATCAACCTGCCAGCCACGAGACACTCCGAGTACGAGCACCTAGACGAGGTGAGACGAATTATTGAACAAAGGCATTCTCCGCGGACAGGGAACCCCCCGGCTTTGCTCAGGCGTTGGCTTTCTAGGTACGAGATCCATAGGTCCGAGTCTCGAAGCCCTAACCGATACCGTGGCGAAGGAACAAGCAGAGGATACCACGACTTCACGAGGACAAGATCTTCCCCAGACTTGACTGGATATGCTCAGTCGCCTGGACGATCAACAAAAGTCTGACGAGAAGGAATCCCTACTCGTGCCATCGAGAGGGGGGGGGGGGGGGATCTATAAAGACCACAAAGACAAAGCAGAGCGAGGGGGGTGTACCTGCCGAGATATTCAGGCCCCGATCCTGAAACACCGAAAAGGGATGCGTATAGACCAAGTCGTCGCTAGAAGGGATTGTGTTCTGGAAACAGAAGAGGGCGGACAGGCCGCTGTACTTGGTAGTTGGTGGTGTATGCACCTACCTGCCTGGGAGGGGGAGGTACTCCTGCGCCTGGTACCTATGGAGGGGACGTGGGTGGACTTGACATGTGCATCGGCGAGCTTTTGCATTGTCTGTTCGTAGGTAACGGGTACATGTTGTGGACTTGGGTCTAGAGGCTCCTCTCCTGGCATTTGCACCGAAAACAATATTCCTTGGTAGGGCGGCTTGACGGCGTCAAAAACCTAGAGGCGACCCGGGCCGCGGACCGGGCGGGCAAGGAGCCCACAATTGGCGCCATGCGACTAGGTATGATTACTTGCAACGGTCGGGGTTCTTGGTCGAATGTATTGGTTGCACAGGGATCGACGAGAGAGGATAGGTACATTGTAGGTCCCGGGGGAGAGTCCGAAGTGTACGAGTACGAGTCGTAGATGCTCCGTACCTACCGAGTACGTGAGTAGTAGGCATGTAGGTACATTGACCGTTAGTGATCGACAGGATCTCCTTGTATAGGTACCCATGCAGTGGTTTTCGGTTTTTATGGGGAGAGGACAGGAGGCAACGTCGAATCCTGGCTTCAGTGGTTGTTCCACAAGGCTCTAGGTGGTATCATATGGATTGATGACAAGGCGACGTGGAGATAGATGGGACCAACGGCGTCGCCGCTTCACCACCAGGTCGGAGTATTTATTCGGGAGCCCCTTTTTTCAACTCCATCGCCCGCTCTAAGCGATGACGCGACGCTGCAGTCAATGATCTGCATACTCCCAAGCGTTTTCCTTAGGTACGAGGATGGAGTAATTCCTGGACAATGGTGGAGCAATGAATTGACGAGATGAGACGAGACACTTGCCCGACCGACTCTAGTTAGTATCACATAACAATGATAATACCGGACACAAAACGAGGAGGGAAAAAAGACTATGGGTGGGCGGTTGGTGGACGGCCAGGACAATAGTTACCAAGTCCAAGTAGTAAAACGCTCTTGGGGACCGAGGGCGGCTTCAACATTGCCTGTAATACTATTAGGTACTGAAGAAATGGATGGATGGTAGGATTCACCGAGGACCACAGCTCCAGTAACAAAACCCCACTGATCGACAAAGGACGAAACATATCGGGCCCGACCTATTCGCGGGCCTTGTCCGTGCGGGCCGCAAAGGTCTTGTCCACATCGATAGAAAAGGCGAGACGAGCACCAAGCAGGTACTGGGGCGATGATCGCAAGTTTGTTGGAGCAGGTACATACATATGCCTGAGTCCCAGTCAAGGACAACCTGAAGTCAGTATCTAGAAACGGCGCCTTGCATATCCCAAGTGCCCGGCTCTGTGGTTCCGGTCCCAATGGTGCACGCGGCGAACCCTAAATGTCGACTTCCTCGTGGATACTGCGTAGACAGTGGTCCCAGTCCCACAAGTGCCTAATCATTAGGTACGTAGGTAGTTACTTGTTGAGATCTGCACACTGCAACGGTGGTGAAGCACATGAAGAACTGCGTGGCCCACAAACCGGACGGTGGGATAGAAGGCGCGCACAGGGATCGCACCCTTTATCCGAGATAGAGCCCTGTAGGTAGAGCGTCCCTGGAGGAAATAAAAGATCGGCGTGATCCCAAGCTTGGGCTTTACCCATTAGCCTTCCTGCCTGATAAAGCGAGACAAGGCTACGCTCTGTAGTCGTGTCATTTGTTGCCCCAGGGTGCCCAAGCTCGGATCCTCCTCGGGGACTGAGGAAAACGGTGGCTGCTTGCATACTAGCATATCAACGGTCATGCAAATCTGCTGCCACCTCAACTCGCCAACAAAGTCGTTTCCACAGCGGTGCGTCGGACCACTGCAATGGTGGGAAATTGGGGAGCCTCGGTATGGTTCCTTGGTCTGATGTAGATATCCCGTGGTGCCTGTAGGTAGGACGCTTTTCATCCGTGGAGCCCTCCTGGTATCACTTCATTCTTCCCGTTTGTTTAGACTTGCCATTTCGGTAGATGATTTATTAACCGGTGACTCTCCTCCTGGGGCCCTCAAGCTTCTAACGCTTCTCCTCTTACCTTGATTCCACTCTGACACATCGCTCGAAGGGGGTGGTCTTCACCGTAAGCATGGAACCCGGGGGCCCGATCACGATCCTGCTGAGGCAGGCGCTGAAAGCCGAGCTCGGAGTCACCGCTGCCACCGCTTTCGTCTTGGGAGTCATCTTCCACCAAAGTATACGTCCAATCGAGCTGGATAATCGAGTATGGACGCTCCTCATCCTCTTCTCTAGCTTCAACACGGTGGCGTTCTTGAGCTATGCCGTGGTCGCACAGTATGGCATACTGGCGGCAGGGTTCAGGGTCTTCATTGTGGACGTCGCGTTTCTTGTTGGCGTCTATGGCAGCATTGCCATCTATCGATTGTTTTTCCATCGGCTAAGGAAATTCCCCGGACCATGGGGCGCGAAACTATCTCGATTCTGGGCTCTTCGGAGGTCGATGAAAAAAGTCCAGTTCAACTATGAAGTCGAGGCCTTGCATAAGCAATACGGGGACTTCGTTCGGATCGGTATGCAGGATCTGGAAAAGCGAAAACGGTCTGTGCTGACCTTGGGCTTAGGTCCTCGCGAAATTTCAATAAACCGCGCCTCAGCCATTGAGCTTGTATATGGACCTCCTTCCAGGTTGCCCAAAGCGACCTGGTATAGCCAAGTGTCGGACGACATAAACAAGTGCTCCATTAACTCGACGCGAGACATGCAGATCCAGCGACAGAGAAGACGGGCTTGGGACCGTGGCTTCAGCATCAAAGGTGAAGCGCCGTTTCACACCCTCATGGAGCCGCTGCTGACTTCATTCTGTTAGCACTCTCCACATACGAGCCGCGCGTAAAATCCAAGACAGATCTTTTGGTATCCCGCATAGGTGCATCTGCAGGGTCGCCCATGAATATCACAGAGTGGTCTATGTTTTACACCTTCGATGTCATGGGAGACATTGGATTGAGCAAGGACTTTGAAATGCTTACCACTGGAGGGGAGCATAAAGCCATCAAGGGGCTGCATGATCAGATGATCACGATCGGCACTCTCGGGACACTGCCCTGGCTGCTGGCGTTTTTCAGTGCCATTCCTGGAATTTCTGGCACGTTTCAGGATTTCATGGAGTACTGTCGAAACCAACTCGAAGAGAAGAAGAGAGTTAGTCACCATCTTCTCCGTTTGAGATATGGTAAAGGCTGCTGACAAGTTGATTTGTAGTCCACGGGCAAGGACCACGAGCCCCGTGATGTTATTTCTTGGTTGATCAAGGCCAAGTACGAAAATGACCAGTCTGCACCGCCATCGGACTTTGCTTTGAGTGAGGATACTCGCCTGATCATCATTGCTGGAAGGTATGCCACTGTCCAATTTGCGAAGCCATGGCTGCGGGAGTTGCCTAACGCATTATCAGTGACACAACAGCGGCTGCTCTCGCCTACTCCTTCTATTACCTAGCGAGACATCCGACCGTGCAGAAAAAACTGCAAGAGAAGCTCGATACCGTCTTTCCTGCAGGAGAGAAGGACTGGACGTACGAGAAGTCGAAAATTTCGTATTTGGACAATATCATCTATGAAACTTTGCGTCTCAAGCCCCCTGTGCCAGGCGGTCTTCCTCGAATTACCCCTCCGCAAGGTCTGCAGGTTGATGAAGTGTATATCCCTGGAGACACCATCGTCGGTGTTCCGGTCCACACGCTCCAGCGAGACCCTCGATACTTCGAGCGCCCGTTGGAGTTTGTTCCCGAAAGGTGGGAGGAGATGAATGCGGACAAGAGCCCGTTCTTCCCTTTTTCGAAAGGTATGGCCGTATTTCCAGGGCAGCCATCTAGTGTGATAACCGGTACTGATTCGCATACTAGGTGCTTTTGGTTGTGTAGGGAAGCAGCTTGCAATGATGGAACTTCGGATGGTCTTGTCAAGGGTTGCCATGGGCTTCGACATTGCGTTTGCCGACGGCGAAGATGGCGTCAAGTTTGACACCGAGGTACTCGACACATTCACACTGACCTTGCCACCATTGAAGATGAAGTTCACACCTAGACAACCACAGAACTAGGGGATAATCGTCTTGGAAAGGAAGGGTCCCGGTTTGTTTTAGAAGAGGTCGGGTAGTTCGGTGCCACCAAGTCAAGATACAGTGCTGACGGTGTATTGATTGATTGAGACTTCAGAAAACCCCTAAAGGGAGCTGGTATGTTAAAGCCACTACGGGCACCTCAGGTGTACGAGCGGACGAGGTAATTGTAAGATGCTAGAAAGGCGCGACGCGCGACGCGTCAGTTGCAATTAGCTCGTACGCCATCTCACTTGATATTCTTTACTAGGCCTTATTGGGACTAGCGGCCGAACTTGGCACTTTGGACAAAGTCACGGAGAAATGCAGGCATGACTCTCTCCTCCTGCAAATGTGGCCGGTCTGATCTCAGGTAACATGGACAGAATTCGCTCGTGATTGTTATAGTAAGTTTGCTTGACATATCTCCAACCACTAGCCATTTCCAGGGCGTCTTCCTTAGGACATCTCAAGTATTGCCCTGAATATACCATCAACGAAGTCGAATTGAAAGAGGAAGGGATGTCGATATTACCCTCATATCACTACGTCGAAAAACCACAGGCCGTCAATAACGGTTTCCCTTCTGGTCCGTCCACCCCCCAATGAACTGCAAGCTCTGGCAACTTGGCTCGTTCTCGACTCCTTTGTCACTGTCCGGCTTTTCCCCTACGGCGTTAAACTTCTCAAGCTGCTCTGCTAGTGCAGCCGCCGATCGAAGTGTCTGGCTGATCGAGTCTCGTCTCTTCTGTTCCTGGTCTCCGACATGGGAACAGCCGTGGCAGCTCTGCACCCAGAGTCGTGTTTGCTGATCTCGAGTGATTTCGTCTTGCTGCTCGTGTGGGATGAGGTCGGCTTTGACGAGTCTCGGTGAACCGCTACCTCTCAAACATGAGGTCTGCAAAGTCTCTGATACCGTGGAGTGTTCGCAAAACTGAGTTGAGGTCACGTTGGATTTGACAGAAATGTCATGACGAGGGTCTAGACACGCGTTAGCAGCTCGATCAAACCACTGACAGTTATACTGGGATAGACCTACTGTGTACAGAGTCGACGGCGTCGGCCATTGGAAGTTGTGGTCAGTGAAGGGCGGTTTTCCTTGAGGAAGAAGAGGAACGAAACTGCTGAATCGATTCCAATCGACGGTCTATTGTAAGCCTTTTATAGACCTTCTGGTCTTCTAGAGGCTTGATGGCGTCTCATGGTCCAAGTTTCTTCTCTTCGAATGAACCATCGGGATACGTTGCTGTGGCGGAGAATATGATAGGCCTCTCATAGGCCACGCTGTAGGCCGCCCCGTTGGCACCCGCCGTGGTCCATCATCCATCAATACAGTACATCGCAACTGAGCAGTCCGGGCTCGACACAGTCAGCTGAACTCCAAACAGCCCGCGAGGGACCAGTGGCTGCCAGCTTGCCCAATAGGCGTGAGCGATCCCGAAGTTACAATTAGACAGGACAGCATCATGTAGCTAGAAACTGCGATATCGGTCGAGACACTTGAAGAAACGTAAGCGGACACAAACGAGAGGAGGTAGACACTTCTCAGCACGTTTAAAAGCGTGATCTTTGACCTTTTGGCATTTAGAGGTTACTATACAACGAACAGTCTCTATACTGTCTCCTGCAGAGGTGGGCAAAACGAACTGATTGTCTTCGCGCAATTGTGCCATAGACACCTAGTCCAGGTTGGTGGCAGAGAAAGCTTGAGTGGATATCACGAGCATCTAGCATTGTATGAACACGCAAGGCGGATTCCATTTTCAGCTGCCCTCATGAAGGCGACATCAAGCTACTCTTCCGAGACGACGGTATAAGCGATGGGCCGTTTCTCGCCTGTACCTTCGTCCCGGAAGGGTTGCTGGGTGTCACCTTCCTAAGAGCATCTGTCGTGAAATCCATCCTGCGGTCACGTTCATGGCCAACGTAGAACAATGCATCGACCCCAGATATCTTAATGTCCGTTCCGTGGCAAGATGACGATAGGAATGAAAAAAAAAGACTTCGCGCCAGAGTGCTGTCATAAGGGACCTGGAACAGAACCAGCCCACACCCATTCTCCTTGGTGTGTACTGGTCCTATTCCGGCTTCCGTAAGCCAGCAGAACCCAATCTCAGATGACTTCAACCATTTTCAGGACATGTTATCGGCAAAAAATTTGATGCTGGGTGAACGTTTCGGAGATGTCGACGAAGAGTATCATGACGTTTGAAGCCCCCATTCAAGCTCCATTCGCAGCCTGTGTTAGGACACGGGAAGCGTTCGGTGTGCTGGTAGTGCTTGGAATGGATGGTCTTCTGGTGTCTCGTGAGGTCCTTTCGATACTGAAACCTCTTGTTACACGTACTCTGCTCACATATGAAGGGAGGATCGTGCCGTCTTTGATGTGTTGTAAGCTGATGTCTCTTTTGGAATGCTCTCGGGGGATTACATTTGAGGCAATGGTGGGCATTGTCCTCGGTGGTACTTGGTGAGTCGCTTGAGCTCAAAAGTCTGACTTCGTCATTAGACCGGCCATCGGAGATTCCGGGGACTTGTACAGGCATATTGCCATGGCCGTCTGGAAAGCATGACGCATTGCGCCACTCATATCGTATGTCAGGATAGTATTCTAAAGAGTCATCGAGTGTCGCAATTGTGGTTTCAACAGGAGCGGGAGTTCCAAGAGATTCTTGTTGCTCAGCTTCTGGGTGACATGTCGGCAACGCCCAGTGGCCGTTCATTTCGAAGAATTGTGCATCGTCTAACGCCAATGAATCCCAGTTGCTCGAAAAGTCGGGGGCTGTGGCCAGAGACCCCCAATCCTGGAAATCGATCGAGTCTGCACCAAGATTGAGATCGGTTACATTGGTCGCGGAACCATGGCGGTCGATGGGGAGGGACGCGAGGAGCTGCCGCCTCCCCGCGCGCGGGTTGGTGTCTCAAAGTCCAGTGCAACCGGTTAGTAGCGATGCGATGTGTACACTGTAAGGGCGATGTCCGGGTGCGCAGGAGGAAAAAGGAAAACCAGTCGAAACCTGGAAGAGGCAGACGATAAAAGGGCCATAGGAAGGGTGGCCTACCAGCGAGTGGCCTACCATGGCGTCAGCCTTACCTTCAAGGTTGCCTAACAGTCGGCTGCCGTCATGCAGGCAAGTGGGTGATTGAGAGAAAGATGTGCAAATCAGGTTTGACCGCGCAGACGGTTGGACGGTTGGATGTTGTTGATGGAGGGGAATTGATGTTTTGCTTCCACGTGATGCCAAGACGCTAATCTGTTCCTGCTGGTTCCCTCTCCGACGGCATGTGGCTGCTCGCCTGGAGCCGCCGCCCGCTGTGGCTCGTCGATATTGTGAGGTTTGTTTGAAGCATGAACCTCAACGTTGACAACTCATCCGCCTTCTTGCTCGTACAGCCTCCACCATAGACATTCAGTCCCGATATTGATAGTCTTCCCATCACGATAGCTGCAGCCTTTGAAAATGCAGCATGGCCAGTCCACCTCCATCCTACGGCGAACCTCCTCCCCTCCAAAGTTACCGCCGGTCCTTTACTGCTCCTCCACGCGCACTCTCCTTCCATGAAAAAGCTGCATTGGACAAATCAGACGCTGATGCCGATATTCTATACTCCCATCCCTCGGCGCGCATTATTGCCTTCTCCCCTCCAACAGAATCCATCCCTCCACAGAGCAAAGAGACTCCACCTGATGTCGACTACCCAATTGACACGGTAGAAACCCTGCCATGGCGATCGCGCTCAGAGATTCTGGCTTCAACCGGTGCCATCGTAATAGAGAAGGTCCGTGGCTCCAGCTATTTTCTGAAATCCGCCGATCAGAAGGTCATCCACACCATCATGCGAAATTCCCAATGCTGGTGTGTCGATGGGGAATCCAAATTTGTCTTGCGCAGAGGGAAGTTCAGATACTACAGAATTGAGCTGCCTTCAGAAACGGAAGAGGACAAGAAGAAAGTGGAGGAACTTAAAGCCGCTCTGCCAAAAGTACTCCGATTTGAGAGGACGCCATGTCCATTTAAGCGCGCATTCCACGTGGATCTGCCAGAAGACGCAATAACACCTCGGAGGAAGGGGACCTGGAAACGAAGACAGCCACCAGAACCGACCACTCCTAATACCGATCCATTGCCCGCCGGGCGTACAAAGACTTCACGAGCGTGGAGTTTTCAAGGACAAAACGGCTTGAGGTCCGTCCAGACTTATGGGCGTCGTGGGTCAGACTATGGCTACAGCCCAAGTCCAAGCTCATCTCGTTCACGGCCCGGGGCTGATGGATATAGGTCCTCGACCCCGTCTAGTGTTGCTTCCAGTGAGGACCCCCATGAAAGACGGCAGGATGACGAGTATAGCGAGGATGGTTCGCAGCACGGTGACGAGCGCGAGGACTTTGTTTCAAGACGAAGTCTTGCTCGGAATACAGTCGCAGCTTCCCGGCTGCAGCAACTGTTGGCAGGGGATAAAGGGCATGTGAATGCGAAGCCAGCCGAATCGGACGACGAAGGTAGTCGAGCCGAATCTTCGGAGGATGCAATTCCTACACAGCCTATTACCCCGCCCACAGTCGGAGATGGAGCCGACCCAGCTGTCGAAGTGACTCCAACGTCAGAACAGTCTCCAGAAGGTGCTATAGACGAACCACCTGGCGAGACAAATGCGCCAGGACCAGGGGAGGGCAGGCTAGAAATTGAGCCTCCCCAGGCGGAAAGCTGCTCAGGAGAAGATCACGGAGAGGATCAGTCAGAAGGGCATCATCAGGGCACGGAAGCTTCCGTGGAGGTAGCTGCCGAGAAATCAGAACAAACTGCAGCAACGCCTATGTCCACTGAGCCCGAATCCGACCCGGCTCAATTAAACCTCATTGAGCCACCTGCGGACGATGAGGGTGTTGAGGCCACAATAGAGCCACCTGCGACCGATGATATAGGGGGACCTGAAGCATCCCCGCCATTGAAACCAGAAGAGGACTCTAAGGCACATGAAGTGGTCGAGGTCGCCAGAAATCAGGGTTCTCTTAGCAGGGTCTCGAGTGTCGACTCCTTCTACACGACAGATTCCTTAGCACCAGAGCCGCTCGATGAACATGTCCAGGTTATCGACTTTGAACAACGTCGTCCTGCAGAAGGGTACCCTCCTTTCTTTTTGAATAGAAATCAGCATCAAAGAGGTCTCTCGGAGCTTACAGTCACGGCGTCCACTGTGGAATCCGAACAAAGTCCAATGAAGCGGCCCTCGACCAGCGACTCCATGGACAAGTCTTCAACTCCGGAACTCGCGCAATCTTCCATGTCAGATTCGTCTTGGCCGGATGTTCATACACCTCCAACGTCGCCGAGCAAAGACGGATTGAGACGGCGCTTGCACGCCAAACGATCCTTTTCGCCTCTCCCACCATCCACCACTCTGCTATCACCTTCGCCCTCTCCGACAAACTATGGAAGTCCCTTCACTGCGGATTTCCTGCAAAAAGCCGCTAATGTTGCATTCGTCAAACCCATCGAAGCCGTTGTCCTGCTGGTCCACATTCTAGCTCGAATAGCCGGGGGTGCCACGGTGAGTGACTTGCTGAGTGGCGAGTTGTTTCGCAGGCCGGAAGCACACCGGCGAAGGTCGAGCTTTCCCGACCAGCCGTCGGCGCCGAGGGATGACAGTGAGGAGGAAGATGACTTTGGAGTGCCAATCAGAGGACGAACGAGAAGTCATGATCCCGGTATGAGGACTGCTACAACAAAGACCGTGACAACAAAAGATGACGACGCAGACTCCATCTTTGATCTGGATTAGGCATCCTGCTCCTGATATAGTCTGCAGAGCCGGGCGGGTTATCACCCGTGCGAGACCAGTGTGTCGAGCTGATTTCCCGGCTATTAATCAACGGCCAACGTGTATATTCGAGCACGATGTGCCTTTACGACCATAGTAACGACTGGGTCCTATGTAAAAAGATCGCGGGAAGTTTGTTGAAAGTTTGCTTGTTGCTTGATGATACCACCAGTTATCTCTCTCAATGACGGAATTGTATTGGATTGGCAGCTTCTTGCGCCGCTTCGTATGTGTCTCGCTTGTCTTGCAGCTCTCGTGTTAGGACCGAGACATTCTTCTTTCCATCTTTGCAAACGTCGTCGGCGTCTTCCTAAGTGATGCCAGATAGAGATACCTCCGCTGAATGTCCTCTAGCACAACCCCTTGAGTGCTATGTCTGGTATGGCCGAGGGCGATTGACAGATCATCAATGGCCATGATGTTCCAGCTGCAGAAGAAGCACCCGTCCAAGCTCGTATCGTGGTCCACCCGCAGTATATCCTGTGGCATTGCCCGCACCTTCACAGGTTAATCGGGTTCAGCCGGTAGACGGCGACACTGCACCAGCAGATGACATTCAGCTGCCCTCCATCCCCAACCCCGTCCTCATGCTGAAGAGGAGTATTCACATTGTCGTCCCTTATGAGAACAAGGATGCTCCTGCCTCTCATCACGATCCAGAAGGCTTCTCGCCGCCACCGCCTGCTGCCCCAGCCTTGCCCTTCTTCTTCGCCTTCGCCTTCTCCTTGGCTTTCTTCTTATCCCTCTTCCTCAGCCCCTCCATGCCCTTCTTACAGGTCTCGGCATACTTGGTGTAGAACGCCTCCAACTCGGAAACCTCAACCACAGTCGCAAATTTCACCTTGTCCTTCTCGACACCAGCCTTGGATTTCTTGGCCGCTAATCGGTGTTGTTTCGACAGGCCGTTTGTGGCGCGTATCAGGACCTGTGATGATGATGATGGCGGTGATGAAGGTGAAGATGAGGTCTCTTTGTCTGTGGCTGTCAAGGGCTTTTGAGTGAGGTAGACGGAGCCGTGGGTTGCGGCGTGGGTGGACGAGAGGAGGGTGGTGAGGCGCGAGAGGAACTGTATGCACACATATTCACGTCAGACACGGCTCATTCGTCTATCGGACGGACAAGGAAGGAGATATCACCTCGTCGTTGCTTAGGCGCTCCTGCGCCATGTTTGTGGGTCTGTTCGTTCTAGCGACAGTTACTGTGATTGAGTTTCCATATTCATAGCAGTGAGGGAATTGGTCGTTGGTTGGTGGATCGTGACACAAAAAATGCCGCCTAAACTTCGGCTGAACCATCTCCGCATTTTCCAAAAAATTAATTGTCCAAGCACAATGTTACAAGTGTGCACGGCCGACGAAGTCTTTTCTAGACATTTCCAGACAACCCGGCGAGCGGTTTTTCGGGTTCTATTGTGTCGGAGCCAATGTCGCGACACAACGCGCGAGCCCGAAATGGCCTGAAGTTACCCTTTGCGCTTGAAAAGGAACTCGGGCTAGAGTACAGGTCGCAACCAAGCGCTAGAGGTGGGCGGCGACAGCAGCAAAATGGCTCGGTGCAGAGCAGAAAAGAGCAGCGCAAGGTGCAAAGACTGGAGAAGAGACAGAATAGCAGGGGTAGAAGATCCCAAACGGGACCGCTGGTGACAGAAAACGGGCTCCCAGATGAAGACTCGGACGCAGATGAAGTCGACGAACCCAACCTCGTGCACGTTGTGTCGAAAAGAGACGCCGTGAAATCAAAGGTTCCGCAAAATGACCCGAAGAAGCTAAAATCAATCCTCAAAAAGCAAAGAATCCCATCTCCATCGTTGTCTGAAACCTCTCTTCCCCCACGATCACGGTCCTCCTCTCCCGGTCTCGTTCTCGACGCCAATTCCCAAGCCTTCAGAGAGCGGGCCGCACAGGATGATGCTGAGATTGCAGCACTTGAGAGAAAACTAGGCTTGAAGAAGAGGAAAACGCCGAAGTCTTTTGCCGACGATGGGTTGGACGAGTTACTCGAGGGGCTGGACGCAGAGGATGGGGGTGTCAAGAGGAAGAGCGAAAGCGAGACGTGGTTGGAGAGGAAGAGAAGGAAACCTGATACTGAGGACAGTGAGCTTACTGAGGACGATTTTGACCTTGAAGACGAGAGCGAGGATGACGAGCTTGATGAATTCGAGGCTGATCAAGGAGACAGTGGTGATCTGTCGGACGAGGACCTGGGAGAGGAGTCCGACAAGGATGAGTCCGAAGACGCTTCGGGGCGAGCAAGTGAGGGCTCGTTTGAAGGCTTCGAGTCAGATGAAGAGATGCCCGACATCCAACCCAAAAAGGCTCGAGAGAATCCTTACGTCGCCCCAGTCCCCCAAACAGCCACAGGGAAATACATTCCGCCATCATTGAGAAAAGCACAAAACTCCGAAGGTCCTTCACTGGAAAGACTGAAAAGGCAACTTCAAGGCCACCTAAACAAGTTATCAGAAGCGAACCTCGTCTCAATACTAGGAGAGGTCGAGAAGCTCTACCAGTCTAACCCTAGGCAGGACGTTACAATCGCCCTGATCGACCTTCTTTTGACCTTGTTCTGTAACAAATCAACTCTCTCAAACACCTTTGTTATCCTTCACGCGGCATTCGCCACCGCAGTATACAAGGTTGTTGGCGTGGATTTTGGTGCGGAGCTCCTTTCTCAGTTGATCGAGCGACTTGATCAATATCGCAGCGATACTGCTACTGGCAAAGAGGCACTCAACCTGATAAGTCTTCTCAGTCACCTCTTCACATTCCGTCTCATTAGCAGCACCATCATCTTCGACTACGTACGATTATTGCTCGAGCGACTAAGCGAGAACAACACGGAGTTGTTGCTGCGTCTAGTCCGGGACTGTGGCCAGCAATTAAGGCAAGATGATCCATCCTCGCTCAAAGATATCGTTCAAATCATGCAAAAGGAGGCCGCCCGAATGAATTCGGCAGGAGAACAGATGAGCGTACGGACGAAATTCATGATCGAAACGATTACGGATTTGAAGAACAACAAGATGAAAGCTGCGGCGAATAATGCAGGCGTAGCAAGTGAGCACATCACACTGATGCGGAAGGTGCTTGGTTCGTTGAATAACAGCCGCACGGTGAGGGCATCCGAGCCGTTGCGAATCACGAGGGATGATATCAAGAACAGCGACAAGAAGGGGAAATGGTGGTTAGTGGGAGCCAGCTGGAAAGGTCATGAGCCTACAGAAGCACCAGCTGAAGGACGAAGTGACGACTCGATCGCGATGAATAGTGTTGGACTTGATGACGATGATTCAGTCGATCTCCTCGCCCTATCACGCCATTACGGTATGAACACCGACATTCGGCGCTCCATCTTTGTCGCCCTTCTCTCGGCAGTGGACTACCAAGATGCGCATCTACGCCTCCTCAAACTGCGTCTCAAGCGCACCCAAGAGCAGGAGATCCCCAAAGTCCTGCTTCGCTGCAGCGCCGGTGAAAATCCATACAACCACTATTACACCCTCGTGGCGAGGAAGTTGTGCCTGGACAAGAAGATGCGCAAGGCCTTTCAGTTTGCACTATGGGATTTCTTCAGGAGGATGGGCGAGAAGCCGCCTCGGGAAGACGATGAAGAAGAAGATATGGGAGAAGACGATCAAGAAGTGGGACTCACCGAGATCGCCAACGTCGCGCGGCTATATGCTTGTCTGATCATGGATGGAGCCGAAACACTGGGCGTATTGAAAGTGCTGGAGCTCGCCTACATCAAGGAACGGACAACCATGTTTGTAGAACTCTTGCTCATCATTATCATGACCGAGGCGAAAGACAAACCGGACGCGTTGACCAAAGTGTTTGAGCGCGCAGCTGAGACGCCTCAGATCATCAAGAGGTTGCAGTTCTTCATCAAGAAAAATGTGCGGACTTCAGATCTGGTCGGAAAGAAGGAAAGAGACATCGTCAAACGAGGCTGCCAAACTGCTCTCGAGACACTGAGAAGACTCGAGGTAATGGACGATGAGGCTGATGTGTGAGAGATGGGTTGCAGACGCATATGAGCCATCGCTCGACATACAAACCATGGGATCGCGTTTGGTTGAACCCGCACAAACCATCCAAAAATTCCGTCTGCCGCTAATATGTGTTTGACGGTCTCTGGCTCTATATGACGGTCAACACATCATGAAGGAGGAACATATATCTCGTCATAACGCACGCTCTCTCGGAAGGAGAGTCATGGATGATCACGCTTCACCCGCAATGCAACCAAGTCCAGAAGAAACAGTCGAGATTTCACTCCATCTCCTCCGCTGGCTTCTCCATGAACTCGATGAATGTGCAACATCCTTGTATGCCGAGATGGTCCGACCGAGCACGAGCACGAGCACGACTACAAGCGATAGCCCAGGCCCAAGCGCAGCGCATCTCCATGGACACGATACCACCCGTCTGCCCTCGACGGATTTCCAACCCTACTCGAAGATGCCGTCGCCGGGGTTAGCTGTCCCCGACGACTTTCGCGTCTCACTCGACGGCGCCGAAGTTGAGAGACTGGCCACATGTGCGCTCACCGCCACCCGGGCTCTCTTGGTGAGATATCACCAACTCCAAGATCGGTGGAGGGCGGTCAATCTGCAGAGCCGACAGGCACAGGAAGCAGGGATGGACCTGGTTACGGGACTGTGGAACGAGCTACACCGGGTTCAGAACGGGTCGTGGGATGACGCCGGAGCCCTCAAGCGGAGTATTCAGGGAGCGATCGATCGGCTTGTGGACAGATATCTCAAAGCTGTGAAAGCTGCCGAGGGAGGGTGATGGTGAGGGTGGGAGGTAGTCAAGATATGAAAAGTGATGGGCATTTCAAGAACACAGAGGGCACCATGAAGTTGGTGCGAGCTTTAAGCTCGGAGCCTCGACGAGGAGGATTCAGGTGAATCTAGATTCTGCGAGATCGGTCCTCGTCTGACACCAGCTAAATGATAGTGGCTTGTGATGCAAAAACGGGGCCAGAATAGATGTATCTCTATTTCAACTTTTAAGAACGGGGAGGGAGCTATTTCATATCGCAATACCACAATCCATGACGATATTCTGGCCCGTAATAGACTTGCTCAGCACCAGCGTCTTGATCTGGTCGGCGACATCCTCCGGGGTAGCCGTCGATTTCAAGGCGGCCTTGTCGACTGTAGCCTTGACCTTTGACTCGGGGAATTGGTTGCCCCTGTGGCCAGAAAAGTCAGCATCGTCATTGTTTTTTGGCTGCCCAGAGCACGTAGTATGGAAGGAAGACAGAAGCAAGAGCCATGACCCACTGACTTACCATTCGGTCATCATGAGTCCTGGACTAACACTATTACACCGGACCTTTTTGCCGCAAATCATGGCCAGACCCTTTGTGAGATGAAGCTCTGCCGCCTTGGTGACACTGTACGCCAGGGAGCTCCCGCTGGGACGGACGCCAGCGAGACTGGCGACGGTGACGAAGGCGCCGCCGACGCGCTCGTCCGAGTCGGCCGTCTTCTCGAGGTGCGGCTTCGCGGCGTAGAGGAGCCACAGGTGGCTCTTGACGTTGACGTTGAAGCAGCGGTCCCAGTCGTCCTCGACGATCTGCTGCTCCAGGTCCATAAAGTCGGTCAGCCGCGTCCAGCCCGCGTTGCTGACCACGACGTCGAGCCGGCCCATCTGCGCGACCGTCTCGTGCACCAGGCGCTCGATCTCGCTGCGCTTGGAGACGTCGGCCCGGATGGCGTGGAAGCGCGGCTGGCCCTGCTGCGTGCTGTACGTGGGCTGAATCGCCGAGGCCTCCTTGATCACCTGGTCGGCCTTCTCCTGCCGCGAGTGGTAGTTGACCACCACGCGGAAGTAAGGGGCCAGAGCCTTGACCGTGGCGGCGCCAAGGCCTGCCGACGAGGCTGTGACCAGGGCGACTTTGGCGGACATGTTGTAAGTGGGGATGACGAGATTTCTTGAGGATAATACCAGTGATTTTTGAGGGGCCGTTCAGAGCTGGATCTTCAGGACTTTGGATTGGTGTTTGGGGTTTATATCTCTGATTGATTGTCCTTTAAGTCTTGAACTGCGGCTGGTGGGTGAGTGGCAGGTGGCTCGGTGGATTGCCCTCCAGACACCAAAGTCAAAATGGGGGGGAATTTCTCCGCACTCGCTGTTGCCCCGATGTCGCGGCGGAACATTTCCGGCCACCATTCCGTCGGGTTGATTATGTTTGCACGTAATGGAACATTTCCTCTTCCTGTCGAGTACGAGGTATTCATTCTGTCATTCTACCAACTACATTCTAGATGTATAACATCAAAACTGACCAATTAGCTTACCAATCTTACCCTTGCTTGACGACTTCGAACCACCAGGTTTAAAGACAGTTGGACTCCTGTGGTGTTATCGGTTGATCCAACATGCCTCAACATACATGTAAAGCCAAATTCGCAGAATAAATTCAGTCATCGTCAAATTCCAGCGTCCAGAGATCCCCAAGTCGCTCGTTAGATTCCGCAAGACCTCCATGGATCACCACCTTGGGAGATGGTGAGCTATGTAAGGCATCAGCATCAAACCAACCCCGGGCAGCAGGTCGATTTGGGCCGTGTATGTCCACTTTGGTCCAAGCCGATGTGTCAAGGTGGAAAATCCAGATGTCGTCAAGCATTTTGCCGGCGCCTTGGTGACCAAGATTGCTGGGATCGCTCTCACCAAATAGGGTGACCAAAACCGGTTTGTCCGAAATTGTGATTGGCACAAGGCAGCTTACACTCCGAGCCGTAGGACCAGAGCGGCCGTCTGCATGATACGGCACAGTTGTCCAAGTGTCGTCGGCGATATGGTATATGTCAAGGCTGCCACCTTGTTCAGTCTTCCCATCGAAGCCATTCATGCGATACAGCTTGCCGTCCGCGTATGCGATGGAAGGTCCTCCCCGTTCAGGCTCTGGGGCATCAGCCAGCCGTTTCCATGTCTGATCCGCAATCTGGAAGGACCAAAGATCGCGAAGTCTACCCTTTTCCGGACAGCCAGCATGGAGGAAGAGGGTATTATGACCATCGGATGTCAACGCGTAGTAACTTCGACCTTGGGGATATGGCAGAGATCCGTCTTTGGGAGCAACGCGCGACCACTGTTTTCCCAATGGATCAAAAACCCACAGCGAGCCATTCTCCTCAATTGGACTCATGGCAATCCCTCCCCGACCAGAAAATATATATAACTGTCCATTAACGACCGTCGAGAGAACTCCCACTCGCGGAGATGGGCCCGAGCTGGATGCCGTGATCTTTGACACCAGATGGGCATTTTTCTGAACTGTTAAAAGATGTCAGCTTGTAGCGGATTGGGAGAATCCTGGCTACGGAAACTGACCCTCATCGAGAGAAACTACGTCAACATCCGAGTCGACAGGTTCCCGGGGTTTGATCTCTCCGCCGTAGATGTAGGCATTGCTGCCAATCACAGCCAATGCGTGCGAGGATCTCTTGACCCTCTGCTCGTCCAGGATGCATGTCCACTTAGCTCTTACCATCTTGACACTGCAGATAGATATTGCCAGTGGTACCAACGGAAACAGGGTAGAGGTACATTCTTTGAAAACAGCTCGACCAAAATGACATTGCGGGCAAATTAGTTGATTGGCCTAAAAATGAGGACCTTAAGCCAGACTTGGAAGCTCCTAGATCGTGTACGGATACGCCAGAACAGTAAGCCAATTTGGCAGTCCATCAAACGCGGCCAAGTATATCACACAAGGTGGAATATCAGATCTACCTTCCTACCTATCCTGCTCGGTGGGTGATGCATTCCAAAAGTGAAACCGGACTTGAAAAGGGGAATCAAGACGGAATGGCCTCGCACGTGACTGTGCTATGCTTAAGTAAGCGAGGGCATCTGTTCAGCTATCTATCAATCAACGTCAAACAAGACACTTCGAAAAAACTACTCTTCGGGATAGCATTTGACAATGCTTGAGATCATGGAAATGTTGGAGAGCTCTGCCCCAGAGCAGGCTCATTCACCAGCCATTTATCCACATCGTCAGCTCGCTGTTCTTTCCAAGACGATCACCTCGTTGCGAGCCAATCTGCTTCCTCAGCCACCACCATAACTGATGTTGGAGTTCTGCTGTTCACTCGTCGCATTCAGCTTCGCTTGATCACCAGCCTTTCTCGAAATCGCAGGTCTCAAAACATGAGCAACAGGGAACCACTTTCTCACCTCGCACCTGACCTCCTTGAAGTTCATTTCAATTCGGCGGAGAGAGAGTGCTTCCATGGTGCGCATGGTGGGACGGATGACGAGTGTCATTCAAATATAAACAGGGCCGTCACAACAGGGAAAGGTAAGTCTCGAGCTTGAACGGCGTCGTTTCTGCCACCGCAAGTCTAGCCAGCATCATGACACTCTCCGTCGTCCCAGTATTTGTCTGCGTAGCGTCATGGTTACGGCCCTTGCTTTCCCCAAGCCAGGGTCTCGGTGGTCTCACGATCATTGAACAACCGGATCCTGAGAAGCGACAAATTGCGCAAAACATTGGCCGATACTACCTGATAAGGTATGACGTGGATCTGGAGCTGACATTTTCCTGGTGACCAGGGATCAAACATCGCTTTTTGTCCAGATAGCATTGGAGGAGAACGGCAATGTTGGCTCAGATCAGATGAAGACACCACGCGGCATCTTGGACTACAAGCTAGCCGGCTACGACGACAAGGCAATGTCCTGGAAATTGACTGGCAACCTGGGTGGCGAGAACTACGTGAACCGCAGCCGAGGACCGCTGAACGAGAGATCAATGTACGCCGAGCACCAGGGCTGACATCTGCCTAACCTGCCAAGTCAGGCGTGGGAAAGACGCAATCCAAGGGACGGGCTCGCAGGTCAGGGACTCGGCATTTTCAGCACCTCGTTCGAGTTGAACGTCCCCGATGGATGTGACGTTCCCGTCTCATTCGCATCTGGCAACACCACAACGCCTCCTGTCCCTGTACTAGTACCATTTCTATCTCAGTGCAAAAGTCGGATGTCAAGAGGGAGGGGGGGGGGAGGGAGAGAACACAGCAACATGTCCAAGGTCAATATGGTATATCGGTACTGCCCAGCATAGAGGAGGGAAGAGTATGATAACATGGTTGCTTGTGGTGCCATTTCCGACGCTTATAGGTATATTGCATTGTACGGCGAGGGCAGGACTGCATCTACTTGCGGTGAGTGGGTGGGAGGAGGCTAAACAGGGATTCTAATGGCTAAAGCGGAGTCTAGAGGGTCTCGCGTAGTAGCAAGTAGAGGGGATTCCAATGCAGGGATCCCAGCGGGGACTTGTATAGGTTGGGCGGTCCTGCGTTTTGATGAAGCGGCCCATATGATACGCGAAGTCAACAACGATTGTCTGCATCATGAGATCGCGCAAGCGAAACCTCCTGTCCCAAGCCGTGCATCACTCCCAAGTTTGTAAGGATGCTGCTGTCGTCGTTGGTTCATGCAATTCGCTCATGTTCGGAGTGGGACATTCGAGATCGTCCCTGAGACACCATCCAGGTCGCTCCGTGTATTCCTATTGCTGGATGGATTTGGAGCCTGGACCAATCAATCTGCATTTCCGGTCTTCAGCAACTTGAATGGTCGTTTTTCCTTGGGCAAAGATGGAAAGTCATGTAGGCTCGCCGAAGGATTTGTAGGACTGGCCTGGAAAGGATCTTCACATGCGAGATGACGGGTCTCGCTACCGACAAGCCTTGCTTCGAGACGAGGGAACCAGTGTCGGTGCCATAGTAACCGGTTTTCCAGAGTCGAATAATGTGGAGACTCCGATCGAGAGACATCAACTGGGCCAAGTATCTACCTGGTAGGGCTCAGTAGAACGATGGCTGACGGTGTTGTCACCCTAGATGGGCATACTTTGCCCTCCAAAAGCTGTGAAAGTCATGCGCAAGGAGGGATGGTCTTGACATTGGCAAACCCAACCGCCACGGCTCGGGTGTGTTTTCCGCCCTGGGGCTTGAATCCCTCCATCCAAAAAGCCATATACTTCCGACACAGAGTGGAACGCTTAAGAGGTGAGGTGGAGCCGTTTTCATGTCAGGGTGGTTGTCCTGACTTGAATCTCTGGGTTGGACAGTATCAAGGCAGGTTCTTTAGATGAGAAGTTGTGCTAGAACATGCGGGAACTTTCATCATGGTCAGTCTTTTCTCATGAATGCCTCGCAAAGCTGGTCTAACCACGATCCCATGCCCAAAAAGTCTTGGAAGCATGTGAAGATATCTCCACAACCTCCTCCTACAATCGCACCGTGCTCGCAAAACTCCGCAAAGGCGTATTCCGGAAGCTCCACTCTGTCAATGGAGAGTAGAGCTGTTGAGCGGTGCTGGCGAACAGGGCATGTGCATGGGCTTTTCGATCCCCTGCAATTCATTTCCACCCTTTGTATAGACCGACATCACCCTTTCCCTTCTCTTTTCCTGCATCCATTTATGGACGATCTTCTGCAGAGCATCCGAGTGGGTTTCTAGCAGACTTGAGCACCAATCATTGTTCCTAAGCACGGTGGGAAAGGATCAGCGGGCACCAAGGACCCATCAAAGCCCGATCGAGAACTTGCTGGGATTATGATTTTTCTCTCTTGCTTAAGATGATCGGGGACCATCGTTCCGCAGCCTGCCTTCTCCGCATTACGCAATTCTGTAGGAGCTCGACATGGGCCAAAACCTCGTATGCCGACATTGTGCCTTGGGAACCTCTGGGGGACAGAAATATCACACGTGAAGAACTCCAGCTCGTAGCGCTGAGAGGAAGTGTAACACAGTGTCTTAGCATAGGATGGTCCCGAGAGGGAGGGTAGTTGCCGTCGCTGCTATTGGGTGGCTTGTGCTTGTCTGTGTCTGTCAAGAGCTAGGCTTGCTCACGGAGCGTCCAGAGGAGGCAGGCTTTGAGATGGAGACGACAGGACAAGCACGGAACGAATAGGTTGATCCAAGCCCTAGTTCGGGTGTCGAAAGTACCTCGTACAGTTTTGTGTGAGACGAGTAGTGGCAGGGGACCTAATAAAAGTGGAAGAAAGCGTCCCGTGGATTCTTTACGTACTGAACGGAGAGCAGCTTTTCCACATTCAACGAGGCTGCATGCATTGGCCTCGCTGGTCATCCATACTTGGCATAGTGAAGACGCTTCGGGATGCGGGGAGCCCTGGATCAGCATGGCCGTTTCCCTAAAGAACTTACCGGGGGAAGGACACAGCCGAATTACCGATGCGATTGGCGGGCCTCCAGGGAAGCTTGAAAGGCTCACTAGGCCCTGGAACCCCCCGGGCTCCGGGGCTCGGCACCCCTAGCTTACCACCCAGTAACCTCCCAGTAGCCCTTAGTAGCGTCCACTAGTCTCCCAGTAGCTCGCCGGTAAGACCACCAGAAGCCTAGCGAACCCCTCCAGCTAGTGGGTCTATCCGATGACTGACGAAAACTCATTCTCAACCCTTCTCTCCTTTGTATGGCAGGCTGCGATTGAAGGTCATCCACATCAGTTTGTAAAACTTCCATCACTATCTGCATCTCATGAAGACGTACGACCGAAACGATCTTCATTCGCTGGCCTGACAATCACCCCCCAAAATGACGCTTTGAGAACAACATCTCGCGCCCATCTAGTTGGACAACACATTGCAGTATTCCACCCATTCGGTGCCATCCCGGGTCTACTTCAGGTGAGGGGAAAGTGTACGTATTCAGTCCACCTTGACTAAAACTATGCAGTAGTGGAACAGCATGCAGTCTTCAGCCATTGTTCCCATGGCCTCAACGGTTAGCGATGGCGCAACCTAGACTGCGCACCGAATGAGCCATGTCCACTTCGCATTGCCTGTTCGGGTGTGGAACAAACAGACGTGGTCGTGGGATTGGTCTCCTCAGACCACTGCCGTCAGGATGAATACGAGTACAACGGTTGAATCTATTCCCATGGCAACAAAACGCATATGTTCTATCCTGTTCCGATTAGAATCATGGCAGAAGGACCTTACGTGACTGTGGAGAAACTCGAGATCAGAAGAGTTCGCTGGATGTCGTCGGCTAAGCGAATATGTCCGGATCCAGGATAACTCCAGGATGCAGCCAACATGATGCTTTCAGTCTCTTTACGTATCTCATGCCACCTCGCCGTGCGAATATCCATCAAAGAGCTTGCAAAGAGGATGACGATGTTTCAATCCCTACACTACCCTTGACCGGCCTGTCCGAAACGGGAGGTGGCTTGCATATTGGCGGAAAATGAGAGCTGTGCGAAGGTTGTGGTCTGTGGGGACACATCACACGTTGGTATCATCAGTATCATCATCCCAAAAAGGTGACCGAGGACCAAGAGCCATCGTCGATAGCTTTCCGCATTTACGTGTTAAGGTGGGCCGATGATGCAGCCTTTGCAGAAGAGCTGAAGACGATCTCATGGATGTGGTGACACTTGCTCCTGGCGGCAGACCCGACATGCTCCGCCATCTCTTTTCGACCGGGTCGAGAGACAGCATTGCCCAGCAGCTAATGCTGAGGATATGTCCAAATACGTCCAATGACACACGGCACAAGTGAAAACCTTCCAGGATCGAATGTGGCTCTCTCACTTTTTGGAGTATATAGCTCTGCGCAAGGATGGCCGCGTTCCCCGCCTCTCAGTTTTCATCGTCAGGACAGGAGCCGGCTCAGTGACATCCTTTGGCTTCCTTAGGAGGGACTGTCAAGATGCTTGGTCTATTGCGGCAACCGTTTGGTATAAAGTTCCCCTCCCCAGCCGGAAAGCTGTTTTCTTACTAGATTCTTCCCTACAGCACAGGACTCTTCGGCTCTCAAAGCCGACAAACACTCTATCATGGCTCCTTCTGCCACTTCTTCTTTTCGACACGTCAGTACCTCGTCGACCAAAGGCTTCGAGTACACATCCACCTCTTCTATATCCAACGGTGTCAACGGAACCAATGGCGTCAATGGAGGCTCATACTCGGCACTTGCCCCTCCAGATATCCCGGATAGCACAGTCCAGTCCGCTACGCCAATGCCGTCAGTCTTTACACAGCGACCACGCGCTGGGACTGATCGCACGTCCTCCTTCGGCGGCTTGGAGCAAGTCAAGGAGCAGCTGGCCACGTCCCGTAACCATGCCTACCGTGTCCTTGGCTCTAACTTCGGCGGCTATGCATTTGACACTTCCATTACTGGACTTCTTGAGTGGATTCGAGACGAAAGACTCATCAGACTCCCTCACAGAGGTGGTTCTTGGGATCGTGTCCTGATCGCCGCACAACACTTCGCAGAACAAGTCCACAGGTTTAACGTTGCCATTTCAACCTTTGAGTCTGACATCAACGCAGCTACAAATTTGGTCTTTGGGCAATGTTTGCTATTGCTGGAGGTACGCTGTCCTCTATTTTTATGCCTCTTCATCTTCATCATTTACTTAGCCCATTGCTTCCACTCAAGCCCACTGTCTCGCTTTTTTTACTGCTTTGAATGCAAGCCCTTGACACCTTTGCAGAAGCACAAGTCCTTCTATATCACTGTTATTGCTTCTCCCCCGCCACTAGAAGCTCGATTCCGCTGACCCTTCTTTTAGCTTGGAAGCGACAATGCTCCAGCATTGGAGACAGTTTTCAACCTCTTCTACCAGTTCGGTCTCGAATTGTCGCCACTGTTGAAGCGCGTCGACATCATTACCACGTCTAGACTCATTTCCGACAACCTCTCCAAAGCCTTCTCGGAGCTCCTGTCTATCGTGACTGGGGTCGCGATTACGTTCTGGCAGATCGTCCATGGGAACAATTCGTCGACCAATCTCGACAT